CACTCCGCCTCACACTCACCCCACACTCCCCATTTCCCTCCCCAACGCTCCCCCAGAATCGCCACCGATTTCCCCGCCACGACCACCACAACCCCCCCCCCCACTCTCTCCCCTCCCCACCCCCCCACACAACACTTACTGAGTGAGGTGCAGCGACAGGGGTCGTGTTTGTCCAGGTAATGCTCCAACGTGTCCCAGCCCCCACCCACTCGCACCATCACGTGATTCCGAAGAATCTGCCAAACAAACACAACTGAGCCACACGCCATCACACCCCCCACCACCTCCCCCCACCCCACCACCCCCCACCACCACCACCACCACCCCCCCCCCCCGCAACCAACATACAACCGTCACCCTACCAACACGCTACCCTCATTCCGCCCCAATACACTACCCTCACTGCCCCCCCGCACCCCAACACACTGCTGGCACTCTCTCTCCCCCCCCCCCCCACATACCCCCCCACCTCCATCAGCCACTCACCCGCACGAATATCAGGGTGCTGGAATCGCCCACCCTGTACTTGCCCTCGGAGACCCTGATCATCGGGAACTGCTCCGGGCAGGTGCAGCGGCTCACCAGACAGCGGACCTGGGGTGAAGAACATCAACATCATCACCATCATCATCATCAACGACGACGCCGACGACAACAACTCCGCCTTACGCTCACCATCTCGTCCAGATTTTTGAAGTCGCAGAGCTGCCTCTGGGGCTTGGGTTTGGGGGGGGTTTGCTGGAAGGGGGGGTCCATCGCCTCGCGCAGCTCTTCCTCGATCTCCTCCTCCATCTGGATGAGGATGGGGGCCGGCATCCCGAATCTGGAGGCTCTCCTCGCCACCTCCAGCAGGCACAGCACGAAGTTCTTCTCGTTCTTCCTCAGCACGAGGTCGTCCGTCTCGAACATCAGCACATCTGGGCAGAGGAGTCAGTGGAGGTCACCCGTCTCGTATTATCCCTGATAATAACCCCGTTTGGCCCCCAAAATACACAGTCAACCCGCTTTACGGTATATTCCGCGAAGTTCCGTGAAAACTTCCGTGAAGTTTCTTGCTCCCACCCAGCCCATGGCATTGAGGTCAATGTTGGGCAGGGAATTGTTCTGATGAACGTCTGCCTCCCCCCAAAAGCAACGGGAGGCGGGGGGTGGGGAGAGGGAGGGGGTGGGGGGGGGGAGAGGATTCAACAAGAAATAGATCAGTGTCCACTCTGCCCCTGAACCACCCACAAAATATACAGTCAATTCACTTTATAGTCTGCGAAGCTTTGGGACGTCGCGAAGACATGATAAGGAGCCATATCAAATGCAAGGATTATTATTATTATTATGATAAAGAGTTCTACGACAGCAACAATAACTTGCATTTACATAGCACCCTTCACCCGGGGCAGCATCTCGGAGCGTTGTAAAACGGCCCTGACATTCACTTCCCATCCCCTCTTAAGAAATCAACGTTTACGACACAGAAGAAGGCCGTTCAGCCCATCGTGTCACTCCGGGTGATGGATCTCTTGAGGCAAAACCTCATTGAACGCTTCTGAAAGACAACACAGATGCCATCCACTAATCCTCCACACCCACACACACAGAGCCAATGCCCTGTCAATGAACCCTATTACTCTACTTGGACATGACCCACATTTCACAAACCCATGTTGACTCTGCCTGATCTGCTGATGCCAAAGCCTCAATTACCGTGTCCCGGTTGATGGATTATAGTCATTTCCCCGCTATCGAGGTGAAACATTCCGGCGTGTAGTTACTTTGCGTTTCCTTTCCTCCCTCCGTTGGCTTAAAACGAAGGCAAATGTGAAACTCGGTCGGGATGCTGTTCCTCAGAGTGTTGTGCTCCACCACTGTCAAGCGCTCCAGGACGCTGCCCTATGTGAGGGGCGCTCTATAAATGCAAGTTGTTGTTGTTGTATCCACGGAGCCTCGGTTTGGAATCGGCCCAAACCTCGCTCTCCCAATAGCTCAATGAGAAGTGGGGTCACAGAGGTTCCCAGGGTCCAACCCCCTGGTGTCTGGGGGTCTCAGTACTAGGTCAGTAGAGGAGGAAAGGGTGGGAGAGGAAAGGGATACAGGACTAAAAAAAAACAATTAAGCAATGTCTCAAGGGAGAAGACTACTCCTAGACTAATCGTGTTTAACATCTCATCCGAAGGACGGCACCCGAGGCACAGCAGCGTTCCTCCCAACATACCCCACTACCCCCAGCGCTGCACAGGAACAACAGCCAGTGACCATGAGCTAACCACTCAAAACTGAGGTCCCATCACAAACCAAGGCTATAACCAGCAGCAAACGGGTGGGGATGGGGTGGGGAGTTGTTATTTACCTTTGATTTCCAGCTCTTTCCTACACCAATGGATGAAGTTGGACACATTGTCCCTGGCCAGGAAGGTGCCAGGCTGGGCATTTGGGGCGTAGGTGACCTGAGCCCTGGGCAGCCTGGCTTGGGAGACGGAGATGGAGAGGAGATTTGGGTTGTCTTGGGAGGCGAGTTGCTGAGCTACTTTGCTCACGTTGTTGGCGTGCTGGCAAAGCACCGAGCCGGTCTCCAGAACCTCCATGAAGGTGTCCAGCCCTATCTCCAGGCTGTAGATCTCCTTCAACCACTCGGCCAAGTCCTCCTTCATCGCATACAGGTACTGCTCGCCAGATTTAAAGGGACGGATGCTTTTGTTACTGGCCGATTGAATGTTAGAGGTGCTGGCCATTCCACCTGCAAACTCGGTGTCAACCCATGAAATGGACACACCTTTAGCTACATTCCTCCACCTGAAACCAACCCCCTCCTTCCTCCCCCTCTCCGCAATTTGTTGTTAAAGCGACTTCAATCGCTGCCTCTTTCCATCCCTCAATTCTTCCAACTCCAACCCCTCTCCCTCCTTGCTTCCCTGCAACTTTTTTTGGGGGGTGGGTGGGGGGGAGAGAGAGAGAGAGAGAGAGAGAGAGGGGGGGGGTAGTTTCTGAAGAAGGAGGTCTATCTTTCTCTCTGTGGGAGAGCTAATCGAACACTCCTTTGCCCTCCCCGGACACTGTGCACCAACTTTCTCTCGCTCTGTGTTGCCTACAAATCCCTTTCCCTAGCGACAGAAGCGGCTTCTCTTTAACTCCTGCCTGCCCAGAGCTTTCCTGCTTGCTCAACCTCTCCCATCGATCATTGGTTCCTCGTCTACTACCCAAGGGTGTGGTTGGTGGTGGGGGGCCCAGGGAGTGGGAGGGGGGGGGGGGGGGGGGGGGAGACAGAGCAAGGTGGACGGATTTAGAAGTGAGAGAGAAAGAAATTGGATTCACATTTCCACAACTTGTCCCTCCAGCCACTAATTGGGAGTTCCATTCATTCGTTCACAAGATGAACGTGGATTTTGAGCTGCAAAGGGCCAATAATAATAATAATAATAATAATAATAATAATAATCCTTGCATTTGGTATAGAGGCTTATCGTGTCGTTGAGACGTCTCATAGCGCTTCACAGAATATAATGTTACTGTGCGTTTTGTGGGTGAAACACTGCAGCCAGTTTGCGCACAGCAATGTCCTACAAACGGCCACGGAGTGAGTGACCGATTTTATTCCGGGAGGTGGTGGGGGGGAGAATTGTTGGCCAGGACACTTCAGGACAGGCACAGGTAATTAACAACTGGAACAAAGTTCCCGGGAAGGGTGGTTGAGGCCGAGACGCTGGGACTCATTTAGAAAACCAGCTCAACGTTGCGATGGGGGAGGGCGGGTGTTCCGTGGAGACCAGATCGGTTCAGGTCACCCGAAGCGATCTTGTAATCTTCACTCTTTCCGCTCTCTCGTCGTTGGGACGTCCCAAAGCTCTTCACGGGATATACGGTAAAGTGGAGTGACTGTAATATTTTGCTTTTACCCACCTCCTCTCTCGCTCTCTCTCTGAGGCTTGTGGTCTGCTGGAGGGGCTGGGTATGGGGAAGACACCCTATCTTTTGGATGATATTAAACTGAGATGAGCAATGAGGAAAGTGTGTGTGTGTTGTGATGACCCAATTGTCCCCTCCTGTGGACGGTTTTGTGAATTACATCTTATGGGAAACCCAACGAATTGGGTCGTCCCACACGATTGACGCAACTTCGAAACGTCTCACTCTCTCTGAACCCGGGGCTTGAGCCCGCAACCTTTTAATAGCCAACCTTGCATTTGATATAGTGCTGTAAAACGTCGTTGAGACACGTCTAAAGCACTCGACAGGATATTCTGTAAAGTGGAGTGACTGTACATTTTGCAGTTGAATCACAGCAAACAGTCGTGGATTGAGTGACCATTTATCTGAGTAGGGGGTGGGGGGTAGGGGGGAATGGGCAATGGATTATTTCCTCCGGAAAGTGATCTACTGATTGTCTAAGACCCAGGTTCCTACTTACTGATACGTAAACAGAGGTGTGTGTGTGTGGAGTAAGGAAAGTAAGGAAACTTACCTAAGGTATCGTCCTGCCCCGGGATCGACCCCCAGGTCCTCTCGCTTGCGAGCTAACCACTAAGCTACAGGACTCCAGACTGCAATTGAGTCAGGTCAACACCGTATAATATCGGACGTGCGGGTGGGGGGGGTTAAGAAAGAACACTCTCCTGAACACTGCGCTTCATCAATATTCAGATCTGAAGAGCCTCTGTAACCCTGGTCACCAGCCAGTGCCTCCCAAGGTTGGTTCTGAATGAACGCAGGGCACAGCCCAGCAGCTCGGTAATTATAGATGAAGAGAATAAATCGACTGACTGATGGGAACAGAAAAGAAAGAGTAACTTCAGACGTGAGCAAAGTCTTTAGGCAGCAGGAAGCTGTTGACAGCTCACTCCTCATTGTGTCAGCAACTCAAGACCTCAAACTCGTTCTGAACGAGAGACTTGCCTCTGCTTCCCACCGCTCCCCGGCTGTCTCTTCCCCCTCTATTAAACCTTAACTTCCCCAATGTTCTTTTTGCGGGGTGGGAGGGGAAGAGAGAGAGAGAGAGAGAGGAAGGAATAGAAAGGAGACGTTTAACCATTTCATGATTCAAATTCTCTCCATTCGCACCCTTTACGCAATCGGTGTGCGATGCTCTTCGTCAGAGGGTCTGTAACACGAGGACATCACTGGAAAGAAAGGTTGAATACTCTTGTATTTACTCCAAGGGTTAATAGAGCGTGGGGAATCTTTATCACAAGTGCATGTTGAAGCCAGGTTCATAACAGAATAAAAAAAATCAGATAAATACTTGATCAACAATAATATTAAAGGATAAAGTGAAAAGGGCAGGGAATGGGATCAGAGTAGAGAGCTCCAGTGGGGAGGGTTGGGGTTAGCACCATCACAGACACGATGGAGGTGGGGTGGGTTGGGGTGGGGGGTGGGGTGGGGGAGAGAGCGCGGGCGATTGCTGGAAAGTGGGTGTGTGGATGCTTTTACGATTTCGTTTCGGGGCGATTTCTAAAACGCCAGAGACACGGAGGAACAAGATCTTTGGTCGAGTCCTTCGAGAGCGAACAAGCAGCGGACTGGTCTCTCGCCCTCCCTGAGTTTCACTGAGTCTCGGAAGGAAGGTGGGGGCGGTGAGGGGAGGGATTGGAGGGAGGTGGGGGGTGGGGTGTCGTTGTCCTGGGTTCACGTGAGCTGGGCGTCTGCGCTCGCTGTGCTGCTGCTGTTGTTGTTGTTGTTGCAGCCGGCCCAGGCCAGCTCCTCGGCCCACCTCCCGCTGCCCAGGGCTCTGAGCCGGCTGTTGTCGAACTTCCAGAAGGCGTCGTCCTTGATAAAGTAGGTCCATCGCTCGCTCCAGGTAAAGACCCCGTTGATGCCCACGGGGATTCCTTTCCAGTCCCGCAGGGGCCGGGGGTAGTACTGCTCCACCCGCAGGGTCTCCTCGTTCAGCACGTAATACCTGGAGCGCTTGAAGACCACCAGGTGACCCAGGGGTTGGAAGTAGAAGGCGGCGTCTGGGTGTCGGGGCAGCCCCATGGCGCTCACTCTCACCGGGAAGCCCTCCTCCAACTCCGCGCCTCGGTAACGCCAGCAACGACCGCCTGTAACACACAGGGCGGACATTTAACAGGCACAGCAACAGGGATACACACACACACACACACACAAACAGAAAGACACACACAAACACACGCACCACTCGCACACACACACACACACACACGATAGACACACAGAAACGGAGAAAGAGAAGCAAGGAGAGAGACAGACAGACAGACACACACAAATTTTATTTTACGCAGAAGGTGCCAGTCTGGCTCAGTTGGTAGCTGTCTTGCTTCCAAGTCAGAAGGCTGTGGCTTCAAGCCCACCCACCCACCCACCCACATGAAGGCCTTTGGACTTGCACGGTCCAGGCTGACGTTGCAGTGTATTCTCGGGTGGAGCTTAGCAGCTGCGAGCAGCAGGAGGCGATATTTGTGCAAGTCTGTGTTTCGAGGACTGAGGAATTCGCGTCTCCAAATTAACAACATTTATACAGCGCCCTTTGGGCCAGACGGGGTCTCGGATCACTCACATCGGGAGAATGTCTCACAGCGCTTCACAGGATTCACTGAAAAAGTGTGTACTTTGTAGGCATCCCACAAAGTCCTCCTGAACAAGGGGGCAGAAGGGGAGCGAGGTAACACACACACACACACGAGAGGCTAGAAACAGCAATGGGCCATTCTATAATATCATGGCTGATCTGTACCTCGAGTCTTAATAATAATAATAATCCTTGCATTTGACATAACGCAGTATCACACCATTGAGACGTCTCAAAGCGCTTCACAGGATATGCTGTAAATATACTGTGTATTTTGTGGGCGAAATGTTCAAAGGATGGCAGCCAGGACAACCCAACAATGCCCTGCGGGTTCAGCTTAGACCCCCAACACGGGGGGCTCGAACCCACAACCCCCTGACTCGGTGGTGAAAGAGACACCGACCGACTGATTGACCGACCGACTGAGCCTGGCTGACGTCTCGTCACTGTTACCTCTGAAAAAGTAGAATTTTCCTTCTCTCTCCGACACAGCAGCGGCCTCGATGGTGGTGGGCAGTCCGGGCCAGCCCTCTCGCAGGGACAGGGGTCCTCGAACACTCCCCACCTTTGAGACCACCCAGTAGTCACCCCCCCTGAAGATGTAAATGTTTTCGTTCAGATCTGCGGGCACAGAAAGAGAGAGTGGGAGGGAGAGAGGTAGACAGCCTGTGAAGGGACAATAATAACAGTAATAATCCTTGCATTTGATATAGAGCTGTCAATAAAGATGTTGACACGTCGCCAATAAGATTCACACAGTGACTTTCCACGCTAGGAAGACGTCTCAAAGTGCTTGTCACTATTGGCTGTTGGGGGGGTGGGGGGTGAGAGAGCCTGAGAAAGGTACATCAATGAGGTACATCTCGAGACAGGGGAACGTGGTGTGGGGGGGTTGGGAGAGGAAGGAAGTTGGAGCGACTTCAGGATGGAGTTCCAAAGAGAGGCGATGGGGTGGGGGGGGGGAGGGCAGGTATGGGATAAGCGTGTGGTGTGATGTGCACACACCTCCCGGTGTCGCCTATACTGGGAGAGTGAGCGGGTCCCCTTACCCATGGTCAGGGTGTCAAACTGCGTCCGGCAGTACGAGGGGGTTCCCGAGGGAACGCCGGGATGGCTGTGCTCCTCCAGCTCCTGGAACGATGGCAGCAACTCCATCGGTAGTTGGACGGCCGAAGCTCGGAACGGTTTCCCTGAAACGCAGAGAGGAGAATGAGACATTATTCCTCATCTAAGCTGGTCGCTAAAGTTTCGCCCTGCCCGCTCGGGAACCTAACCCAGGTCCTCTCGATTGCGAGGCGAGCGCACTAACCACTGCACTCCGGGACTCCACAGTGTGCGCACGTGGCTTTTCTGTCTAACTGATGATCACAGTGACTAAGAACGGACGAGCCATCCATACTGGAGCCCCGTCTCTACCACATGCCGGTCGTTCCCTGTTAGCCAGGCGTCTGGATGACAAGCCACAACAATAACAACAATTTGCGTTTGTATAGCGCGGCTCACGTCGGGAGGACATCCCAAAGCAGAGGCCACTGGCACGTAGCCTTCCTCAGTTGACGAACACAGCCTTATCTGAGGCCCGGTCTAATCTGGCATCTTAGGCTGGTAATTCAGGAGCAATTTAACTCTAATCTCCTGGAATTTTGGCCGGAGTTGCGAATTCCTAAAGTGACAGTCTCTCTTTCACTGTGGGGGTGGGGAGGAGGGGGGTGAGGGCGGGGACCAGATGTTCATCTCCCCAGCGCTGTTTCTCCTACAATTGACTTTCGATGCTTAAAAATTGAGACCAGAAAGCGTGCTGAGTGGCGAAGGTCCCACTAGTGTCTATTAGAACGCTGGGTTGGGATCGTGGACATACGACCCCATCCTAAAGAAGTCTCAAAGCGCTTTATCCTAAAGCCCAGCCGCTGAGTCTTTCATTAGCAAAATTTTCCCACATGGCAGTGTCCGGCGCACAGCCACGAAATGAAGCCAATCAGCGATTTTATCCGGTGGGGGGGAAATTGTCAGCCAGGAAACCGGTGGCGAGAAAATCCTTCTCTACTCAAGTTAACGTCTGACAGAACAGGGCACAGACGGGACCTGGGTTCAGTGGCTCCCACTCCCCCCACAAATCACCAGCTCCCGACCCCACCTCGGGGTCATGACTCAGTAACTAACGATCATTACTAAAGAGGAAACAAAGGCAGAGAAGAGATTTTTTTTATTACACACAAGATTATTAGGCCGCAGAATGTTGGTCTAAAACACTGGTCCATTAAAAGACTTCAGACACGTACTGTAGATCAGGCTGAGATTTTTTTGCACTGAATCAGTGTCGACCGCAGGTTATTGTGTGTGTGGCTGAGCTCCGGGGGGGGTGGGGGGGGGATCTTCATCATCACTCACCCATAAACGCTCTCGTTTATCTTGTTGCTTTGCAGATCATGTCTGTGTTCAGTGACTGACCCTCATTCCCCTCCTCCTCCACTCCACACACCAGCAACACGAACGGAATGACCAAATTATTCTTATTATATTTTTGGAAGGGATTATTACCCCCTAAAAAGCAATCGACTAACAGCCGGGTTCCTGCTGACCGCCAGGTAAAGAGAGGCGTGCGCGTGGAGTAAGGAAACTTGCCTACGGTTTTGCCCCGCTCGGGGAATTGAACCCAGGGGTCCTCTCGCTTACGAGGGCTCTAACCACTATGCTAGGGGGCTCCTACAGGGGAAGTGGGGGGTGGGGAGCTTACCGTACAGCTTCTGAATCGCCATCATGTCGTCCCAGCTCAGTAGGAAATCGCGGCCCAGCTTCTTGTAAAATGGCGACATGAGCGCGTTCCTGACCGGTGAGTGCTCGAGCCCCAGGGTGTGGCCGATCTCGTGGGCCGTCACGATGAACAGGTTCCGGCCTTTGCCGCGGTACAGCGACCACCGCTCGTCATTGTCGAAGTGGGCCTCCCCGCGGCGGGGGAAAAAGGCGTGAGCCAGCGCCCCACCTGAGGGGGCAAGAAGGTGGGGTGGGGGGGGTGGGAGAGTGAGCAGCCTGACTGGGGAACTGGGGATAGTCATTGCCCCCCATCCCTGCCCGCAACCTCCGCCCCTTCCCTCCTCCACCCCGAACAACCATTACCCCATCACCCCACCTCCCTCCCCTTCCCCAACCTCTCTTCCCCAATCTCCTTTCCTCATTCCCATTTCATATACCCTCCCTCTACCCAACCTCTCTCCCCTTCCCACATCCCCTCCAACCCGCATCCCTACCCAACTTCACTCTGGGATGGGGTGGGTAAGGAAGCTTACAGTGAGGCAGCGGTCAGTACCACCAACAACAACTTTCATTTATATAGCGCCCCTCACACAGGGTAGCGTCCCAGAGCGGCTTAACTACCTGGGCCATCAAAGGCGTTGCCTATGCCGTCGTTGTGCTCGCCTTGGTAAAACGCCAGCCGGATATCAGCCGGGGCCCCAGCTGGAGCCTCCCCAAAGCTCAGCGACGAGACGTTGCTCCACAGCTCGAAGGCAGTCTTCACCGCAGCCCTGACCCGGCCGGGCTCCAGGTATCGCGGCCAGTTAATGATCTTGTACGTGAGATGGTGCCGGTACCACTTCTCTCCTGGGGTGGGGGGAAGGGGGGTCAGAGAGAGAGAGATTTCAGCACAGGATCGGATAAGAACAGGAGGAGGCCATTCAGCCACTCAAGCCTGTTCCGCCCAAGGCAGCGTTGGGCTGGGCAGGGCCGATCACGTCCGTGGATTCCATACGGCGTCAAAAGTCTCTCGAATGCTTTCTTGGTAATGACTGTGATTAAGGCCAGAGACTGCGCGTTGTTTAGGTAAACACAATTTGCACGCAGTGATGTTCCCCAAACAGCCTCCAGGCGAGTGAGCAATTTTATGGGGGGGGGGGGAGAGGGAGATTGTCAGCCAGGACACCAGGACAGAAGCTATGGCACATCGCTGTGGGCAACTGGCTGCCGTGTTTTACCCTCAAAATACAGTCACTCCACTTTACAGTACATCCTGTGAAGCGCTTTGAGATGTCTTGACAACCTTATAAGGCACTATATTAAATGCAAGGCTTATTACTGAGCACATTCAACCCCAGTGAGGTGGTGGGGTGGGGGGGAAGAGGGGGAGGTCGGGGGGGGGGGGGGGGGGAGAAAAAGGCTTAATCATAGATTGAATTATAGATTACTACAGTTACACGTCAGGCGTGTCTCCTCGGAGCCAGTTGAGCTCCAGGGAAACCTCTCTGACCTCCTCTCCACCCCCACCTACTACTGCCGTTCCCTCCAAGGATAGTTAGCTTTAAATTACACAGAAACAAACACACAAGTCGCTCTCATTCTGCAAGTAAGTGTGTCTGTGTGCGCATGCATGTGTGTGCATCTGGGTGCACACGTAACAAGTTAGGCGTATATAATAAATACTAAATAATCCTTGCGTTAGACACGGCGCCTTTCAAGTCGGAAACACTTCATTTCAGTCAGCTTCGGAATTCAGTGGAGGGGAGGGAGTGAGCCCCGGGCCGGGGGGGGCGGTGGGGGAGGGGGGCGAGGGGTTGCGGAATCTCAGAGGATTGTGACAAGCGTTCCACAGGCCAATAATTATGGAAGAGAAAGCTGGGTGGTGGCAGGAAAGGGAAGGAAGACGTTACCATGTCTGATAAGACACTCGTTTACGTCAAGTGACCTAGGGGTTTGTTTAGAAAGAAAGGTGAAAACGGGAAGCGCATCAATCTGACCCCCTCCCGCACCCCACCCAGCGCACATAACACCCAGACTCTGCGGAATCTCCACCAAACAAACCCCTTACCCAGACTTACACAAAGCTGGTGGGGAGTGGGGTGAGTGAAAGGAGTAGGGGCCAGACTAGCAGAGACTCCGTCCTTCAGATGAGACTCTATTTAATAATAATATTTGCATTTGATATGGCGCCTTATCACATCGTTGAGACGTCTCAAAGCGCTTCACGGAATAGACTGAAGTGCAGAGAGTGTGTATTTTATGGACAAAACCTACAGTGTGTGACAGGTCACCCTTTTGGCTTCAGACACGTCGTTCACAGTTGTGTGTATTCCAATGCTCTCGTTTAGGAAGTGACTTTGCCGACCCAGCAATTCCCGAGCCGTCGCTAATCGGTGCAAAACAGGGACCGCAGACATCCTCTCCAACACTTCCCAAGGATGCCCGGCTCCGACATTCCCAGGCTGTATTCCCAAAGCGACAGAGAGAGTGACAGAGGGGCAGAGAAAAGAAAACACACCCACACACACAGAAACAAAGAGAGAGAAACACACACACACACAGAAAGAAATGGAGAGAGACACTCACACACACACACACACACACAGACACACACACCAGAAACCGAGAGATACAGACACGCACACACACGCGCACAGAAAAACAAAATGAATGTAAAAAATAGTCAAGGAGAAACATAGAAAAAAGGGAATGAAAGAAAATAATAGAAAGAAAAGGAAAGAGGAGAGACAGTGGGAGAGAGAGAGAGAGAGAGAGAGAGAGAGAGGACACCCAACTCCCCGAATACCGATATTGCCTTACGTTCTTTCCCTGGAGACGGGGTGTGTGACTGAGCTGGAATTCCAGGCCAGACGCGGCCCTTGCTGGCAGGTTCTCTCACCAAACATTTAACATATTTCCCAATAATTACTCCCCGTTTGGGTCAAAAGGTAAAAAATGTGAGCATTGCCCGGGGAAGGGGGGGGGGGGGGGGGGTGGGGGGTGGGAAGGGAGGCAAATGTGCATCAGTCACCACAGGAGCCGGAGGCCACAGTATGTTACAGGCTAAGGCACGTCTGACCTGGCAATGCTGACAGGTGGAATCCTGCATGAGTTGAGGTGATTTGGAAAGAGTTTGAGTCTGACGTTGAGCTGTCAATGGGAGTCGTGGACTGTGGACAGATTTGGTGTCCCCACATTCTGGTGTTGGGTGGGTGGGGGGGGAAGAGAAGCGGGGGGCAATGGGACTCGGGTCGACTGGGGCATTTATGTACGATTTATTAGAGTGTATTCTGCAAAGAGCTTTGAGACGTCTCAAAGGCGTGATAAGGCATTTCTATCAAATGCAAGGATTATTATTATTATTATCATCATTATTATTACTGTTACGTCACTTAGGCCCACATCATAAGATTTTTAACGTTGGGAGGACGTCCCAATGCGCTTCACAGAATTTGACGGTGAAGTCTGTAAAGTGGGTGCAGTGACTGTGTGTTTTGCGGCCAAACGGGGCAGCCAATTTGTGCGCAGCAACAACCCCCCCAAACAGACCAAAGGAGGGGTAGGAGGTGGGGGCTGGTGGTAGGGATTGGCAGATTGGAAGCCGGGAGAGAGGAAAACAAATGCCTTTTTTTTAATCCACCTTCGCTCACCTTGTGGAGAGTAACGCTTGATGCGCTTGGGTTTATTGCTTTGCCCAAACAGCACAGCCTTCACATGCTCTCCCCAAATTCCACGACTCCCCGTGTCCTTGACTCCGCACCGCGGCTCAGCCATCCTCCTCACGGTGTTCTCATCCAGCGCTCCGCTCACCGGGAGGTGGGAAATCCACTGGAACTCCCTGGGACAAACCCCAACACAGAGAGAGAGCGAGAGAGAGAGAGAGAGAGAGGAGTGAGTGAACACAAAGATTCATTGGTACCTGGTAGATTCTTGCCCGTTGTAGCCTGGAATCAACTCAGATGGGAGTGGGGAGGATTTGCTCCCCACCCCGCTCCAGTCTTTTCTTTGTACAAGTCATATTAATCATCTCCTAACTCATATCGTCATGCATTAAAGATTAATCGAGGTGTTTCTGCCAAATGAAATGAGGACCAAGCTCCCATCAATTGACCTCCTGCCCCACCAACCCCCACCCCCAACAATCAGAAGATTTAAGATCTTGCCCCTCAATCACACCGAAACCCATGCCTTGAAAACAAAGCCCAGGTCAACACACAGCAAATTCCCTTTTGCACAATTTCATTGCTTGCAAATTTCTTCTCAAGTAAGTTTTCCTTGTTCGGTCACAGACGAGTAAAGAGATAGCTCAACTGACAAACATCTCAAAACTCTGACTTAATTATTCCCCAAGCAGGATGTCAAGCAAGAGGTATTTCCTGCTCATAGCGCCAAGAGATTTGGGGGGGGGATTTAGGGGGTTGGGGGGGGATTGAGAAAATTGGTTACCATTGATGTCCTTTACATACAATGGATTGGAAACCCAAAGGGGGTTGAGTGTGAGAGAATGTGTGTGTATATATGTATATGTGTGTGTGGAGGGAGGCATCTCTCATTGTTCCTGACACTCGAGTCTAGCCAAACAAATGGTGGGGGGGGGGGGGGGGCGAAATGAGCACTCTTAATTTGTAACCAGGCTCCGGACGCAAATACTACACAACACGTAGCAGTGTGATTATGAGTTGGTCTGACAAGTCGATGACTGCACACGGTGATCATGTCAAGTCATGCACAGCTATCCGGGAATGGACGTCAGACAGCACATAGTGTACTCAGAGCCTGTTAACCAGTTGACGAAACTCTGGTCTCAACTTGAACAAACTAGCCGAGGTTATGATAGATTTTTTTTTGCGTGATATGGGAGGAGGGCGGGAGGCAACGGGTGGAGAGAGGGAAGATTTCCGGCCGCTCCCTCCCTTTTTGCCGTTGCCCATTTTTCAACTTGTCTCAGCCTCTTTCGATTCATTGAACTTCTAGGAGTCGACCTGGATCTCACCAAAGGAGCAAGAACTTACATGTTTTTCTTATAAACTCAATGCACAATAACAACCGCCTCTGTGTCTATTAGCACTGAAAGGTCTCAAAACACTTTACCCTCGTTGTCAAGACTGCTGATTGATGCCTTTGAAGACAAACGTGGTAGCCAATTTACACAGGGCAATGTTCCACTGTCTGTCATGAGATGAATGACCAATTTGAGGTGGGAGGGAGGGAGGGATTGTTGGCCAGCACACTGGGAGAAACTCCCTTCTCTTTTCCAAGTATCCCGCCGAACAGGCAGGCAGGACATCGGTTTAACATCTCAACCAAAGGGGAGCACCTCCAGCCATATAGCGCTCCCCCCTCAGCAATGCCACCCCCCTCCACCACCTCCCCCCAGCAATGCACTGAAGCATCCGCGTGGGTTCAAGTCCCTCTTCAAAGTACTGTCGAGGGATTTGAGCCAACAAACCTATGACCCAGAAGTGAAAGCGAGGCAGACCTAACCAGACGTTTCTTAATTGCGTGTTTTCTCCAGGCGCATCCCATCCCCCCACCCCATCCCCCACCACCCCCTGGGGTAAGAGACCCCTTTCACCGTGTGAAAGTCACAGCAGTTTGTGCCCACAGACGGACCTTTAACGATTTGGTTATCGATGCTGTCATCACCTTATATTCCCCAAACATCTCTCACCTCACGGCCTCTCTGACCTCAGCAGAATTCAGTCCCCTGTGAGATCCGGGTTCAAGGTAGCCATACTTTTCTAAGAATGCCTTCGGGAGGAAAGAGAAAAGCCCCGGGTAATTATTACAAATGGAAAAAATAAAACGCTTTTTATTTTAAAATAACATTTAACATTGATTTTCGCTTTTGTGGTCAGATGGGTGTGTCTGACCCACATGGAAACCCATCTCCGTGCTTAGAGAGTTTCCAAACCAGACTGAGATGCCCACATAAATATGCCATCTACACTTGGGATTTTCCTTCTACCTGGAATGGAATTCTCTCTCTCCCTCTCTCCCCAGATGGATGCACCCTGCTTACCTAATTCTGGAGAGTATGAGGCTTAGGTTGGCAAGGCTTGAGGCGGGGGAGACCCCAGAGTGTGCGTTGGGGTAACTGCTGGAGTTTAACCAGCTAAAAGCTTGCTCCTTGCGAGCACTGCCTGGCAATCTTTCCCATTGCTTGTCCAGCTAGGACCAACCTACCCATTAGGGCTTTGTCTTGCAGGTTAACAGTGGGTAGAATCTACACCCCTCCCCTCATGACTGACTATCATAATCAATAAATACTTTCAAAAATTAACAGTAAGTCGTGTCCGCCCCCAGATTAAAAATACTTTAACGTGAGGCAGATAGAAATCAGTGTTTATGGGGTTAAACATCAATGATACTGTACGAGCAAACCTCAGGGCTGCCCTCCGCCGGCTACGATGGAAATACTAAGTGCCACCCGCCAAGTGAATACAGTAAATATTCTTGAAGTGACAACACTGATAAATTCAGCCCCCAGCACAGGTCTCTTTTGCAATTTTATATTTTTTAAAAAATTATAGTGCCCTCCAATAAACATGATTAGCTTCAGAGTGCCAACAGCAGCAGAGGCAAATAGAGACAGAATCTCTAGCAAGGCGTTCTTAAACCACGGGATAGTATACCAACAACAACTTGCATTAATATAGCACCCCTCACTCAGGGTAGTGCCCCTAGAGCGCTTGACAGTGACGGACCACGGTTCCGAGCTGGAGGCAGGGGTGAGGCGACGGTGGGCAAGATGGAAGAGGACGGTCTTTATGCTTGACCTGAAGATGGGGAGGGTGGGGCAAAGCGAAGGGTTAGGTAGAGGAGTTTTCCAGAGTTTCGCTTTAAAATTCACGCTGCAATGCCCCTTTAAGTCTACACATGCCGCGGGAGTTAATTAGAAGCTTGTTCACATTGAACCCGCTCCCCTTTGCCTACTCACACCCGTGCAGCGTCAACAAAGCCTCCGAGTCAGTGCCGAGAGCAACGAGAGGAGGCATGCCGTTTATTACAGAGTGCAGTCAATTTGATTTGCGACATAAAGAGATTTGAAGTTCAGTCAACGGGTTATTAATAATCCTCAATGAATGCTCTTTTATTGCTGCCCCCGATACAGATACGTATCCCATTTTCTCTGCGGATTATCGTACACATAAGAAGAGTTCAGCGGGTAGAGCTCTCGACTCCTTAGTTGGAAGCTTGTGGGTTCAAGCCCCCACAGCAGGGACTTTGAACACAGGTCGACACTGCAGTGTCCAGGTTGACACTACAGTGCCGGATTGTCGGAGGCGCCGACCTTCAGGTGAGGCGTTAACGGCCCCAATAATCGCCGACTGTGGGATGTTGTTCCGCGGAATTGGCTGCCACTTCACGTCCACAAAAAACACGGTCAATCCACTTTACAATATTATATATATTCTGCGAAGCGCTTTGAGACGTCTCATAAGGTGCTGTATCAGATGCAAGGATTTTTATTATTATTATTATGATGATGATGATGCAGTGTAATGAAGTGGCGTGTTTTATGTACCAGGGCTGGGCATGGATTACAACAGGACCGGTTATTAAATTACAAAGCTGATTAGCTATCAAACTGTATAGTTTTATTACTGTACTTCCCAGTCCAATATTCCAGCACAGTGCTCAAATACCTGACAGAGCGAGTCCCTCTGGCTGTGTGCAAGGAAAGAGGTTAATAATTCACAGAATTGTCAATGATAGTGTCCAATAGAAGGGTTTTTTTGTTTGCAAAATCACGGTGACAGCAATTCCCTGTGTAGACGGTGTGTGTCACCGAGTCAAAAACATGTACTGTTATTTAATTACTTTGGGAGCAAATCCTTGTTATTCCGTAGTTAGTTCGAATAGACTGTGGTAAAGTGATTGCATTTTTCACAAACTGTTGAAAACACGCCGTCTGACTACTCCCAAGGGTGTGGCGTTTCAATTTTTTTTTAAAAAATAAAAAAAATAAAAATGTACTTAAAAATATATTTTTTTTTAAAACATTTTTTTTTAAAAAATAGCTATTTTTTGAGAAACAACCGTGGGCATTAAATTTCACTCCCGTACTCAATTCCCTCGTCTCTAAACGTAAAGATCACCACATTACACAGTCTAAGAATCGATGATAACAATAAGTAACAAATAATAATAATAATGATTACGATAAGAAGAATATCGAGAGACAGAAACACTGAATACTTTTCGCACTGGTTTTGTTCTCACGTATCATTGAGAGAGAGGAAAAAAAAATCGGTAAAACCAACAACAAAAAAAGAAAGATCGCAGCATTGAAAACGCCAAAATATTTTATATTGTATAAATGCAAAAAAAAAAGAGAGAGAGAAAAAAATATTGACTGAAGGTAGACTCACCTCTGCTGCTGGCAATCCCAGGTCCTTGTCTGTGTCTGTTGGCTGTGTCTGACCCACAGGCAAACACCCCGAGGGGGTAGTGAACAGGAGAGAAACTATCAAAAGTTTTGACCAAGTTCCCAAACTTTGTCCAGAAACTCCACAACTCATTGTGCGCTGAGAGCTCCTTCTCTTCCTTCCCTCTGTCTCGATCTATCCCTCTCTCTCTCTCTCTCTGTCACACACACACACACACACACACACAAACCCCAGGCAGGAATTGTGTATTTTTTTTTAATATTTTGGAAAAAAAAACAGCTAAAATCACGACTTATCAGCTGCTGCCGTCTTGATGGAGGTTATCCAGAGTTTCTTCCAAGTTCTGCTTTTTTTAACCCCACTCCCAGCCCTGAAGTTGGGCATCTTCTTCCCCCTTTGGCAGCTGTTTACCAATCGCCTTGTCCCCCCCCCTCCCTCCCCTCTCTCTCTCTGTCTCTCTCTCTTCATCCAGCCACTTGGCACTTGCTTTCCCCCATGCTTTCCCCCCCCCCCCCCCCCACTCACACCCCCCCCCCCCCCAGGGGGTGTGTATATATCAAACCGACTGCAATCACAGCAATAAGGAACTGACAAAAACAGAGCTCCACAAAGCACCACCCACCACTTTCCCAACCAGGCGGCTCAGGAGCTCAGCGGCTTGTGGTTTAAAAGGGCAATGGTTTGGTTTCTCAATTCTTTCTCCTCTCCTAGAATTAATCATCATCATCATCACCATCATCACCCTCGCGTTCGCCACCGCGCCGCGCCACTTGGTTGGGACGCTCGAAAGCGCATTGCGGAACGCTGCGCAAAGTGGACCGATTGCTTATTTTGCTGCGTTGGGCGCGGGCGGAACGCGGCCACCAGTCGGGCACGGCCGTGCGCCACAAAAGTAGGTGACTTTTTTTTTTGGGGGGGGGTTGTTGGAGGGATTATTACCCCCCCCCCCACCCCAAGGCGATCACTTTTTATAAGGCAATCCGCCGATCGACTTAACAAGCGGGTTCCTACTTGCTGCTGGGTAAGCGGGTGTGTTGTGGAGTGAGGATATCTGCCGAAGGTTGCACCCCGCCCAGGAATCAAATCCAGGTTCTCCGGGCACACACGCTAACCACACTTACAGGACTCCCCAATTATAATAATAATAATCCTCGCATTTGATATAGCGCTTCGCACGTCTTCTCGACGTCCCAAAGCGCTTCACGGAATATACTGTAAAGTGAATTGACTGCATATTTGTGGGCGAACGCGGCAGCCAATTGCGCACAGCAATGTCCCACAGTCATAGTCAGTCTGTTACTGTCAATTACTGAGCCGCAGCAAGCATAATAATGAGGTGAGGAAAGAGTTAAAAGCCTTTTAACTGTGTAAGTTCTGTAGCCAGTTGCTGCTTATACCAGGACTTCTCTGCGGACATCCTCCTGACGTGAAAAGCTCTACATAAATACAATTTGTTGTTGTTGAGGAGTCCTTGTCGATTGTGCAGCAAATGAGAAAGCTACATAAGTTCCCTACCAGTTTAAATGTCGGTAACAGCAATGTCCAAACCATTCCCGTAAAAAGTTTGTGGCCAGCATACAAGCATTAATTACACCGGCTTACAAATCAGATATCAGTCAACTTTGGGAATTTCACATTTTTTAGTGATTGCAGCAGTCCTTTAAGTTCCTTGTGTTCCACTGTATATTTAATCACACACAGCTTTTAAGGGAGTTAAAACAAATTGGGAACAGAATAAAATTAGAACTCAGCTCTCCCCAAGGAAAGCGAGCTTCCTACTCTTAATGGTTTTAATGTTTAATGGCATCACAGGGTGTTCAAGAAGCAGAAATTAAACTCTTTCTAGTCTTTGGAGGCCTATTGAAAATTAGATTTGATTTTAACATATCCTGTATGTTATGCTGTACCAAATGCAAGGATTTGCTTAGTCTTTCTGATGAAATTAGTGCAATAAGAATTACATTAAAATGACTGCAGCCCATCTAACTGGTGATAGTGTTGCACTCATCCGCTGCAGAACTGCACTGAAAACATCCTAGGAGTCTTAAGTGTATACATGTCAGTGCATCTCCCTCTCCTCCATTGGGGAACATTGAAATACATGAACACTTGTCCATTTTCCTAATACAACCACAAACTACATTGGTATAGCACCTTTCCCACCAGGAAGACTCACAAGTTGCTGGACAGTCAAGGATTTGGATCTTGATATTATTACATCAACTAATGAGGGTGAGAATGAGCACTCTGCTCAAAAAACTACCAGGGGCAGCTGTGAATTACCTGTGGCTGGAGTATAAGAATCAGGACTGTTTGCACAACATATCATTACCTAATCACAAGGGAAGATGGAATAATCTTCTCCCAGTACTCCCTGCCAACATTCTGAGGTGCAAGACATCGCACTCACTGCTGCTTTAGCTCCTTCCCTTCACATTTCCACGCAGCAGGAGATCAAAGCACATCACTGCAACGGCCATAATTTCATAGCTCAACAAAGCCCCTTTCTACTCACTTCACTGTACAATTAGTTGAGATTACTGAACTGGCAATATCTACACATAAACACAAGGCCAATTAGAAACTCTTTTGACTACATCCTTTTGTAAGTTGCATAAATGCATTTAACACTGGGATGCAAGGTTTGATCCTAAGGGCACCACATCATCCTGCTTTCCCACAAATATAGCAAGGACTTCCCACTGAGCATGGGTTAGCCGTTGGTTATGGTGACTAATAGACTAATTGCTGACATGCTATCCCCTGCCTGCTCCAACCCTTACTTTCATTCCCAGCACAAAACTAAGGCAGGCGAGAACCAATGAGGGAACTGCAGCGTTTTGCAATTGTTAGTTACACAATGAACAAGTAACCAAGGGGATCAGACAGAGGTATCCAATTCTTGATTCTCAGTTGACACCCAGTGATAGTGTTTTTTAAAAAAAAGTTGCTGGTCAACAGTGGCCAATATGAGTCATCTTGGACGCTAAGAGTTCAGATCAGATGTCAGACTAGTGGCTTTCTCACATTTGCCAACACACTTATCGCTGTAGGACATCAGAAGCCAAACCATAGGATACACAGAGCTTTATTGCAGAGTTCAAACCGTTTGAAGAGAAATAGCAACAAGGTTTCGTATCCATCATTAAAACTCCGAACTTTTAACTGAAAAGATCTATTGCAGTCACATTTTTTTTTATACAGTTTGATGAAACCTATACAGAAAATGGAACTATACCCAAAGACAATGAACCAGACAGCTGCAATACAGGTGTATAATTCACATGAAACAAACCAGCTGTGCTGATAACTACCACCAACTAGAGTAGTCAAAGACAAGTCACTGTACAGGCAATTTATTAAAAATTCATTTTAATCTTAGTCTCCAAATACATAGTGAAAAAGTACATTACATTGCATCAATGTTAAAGCACCACTAAAGCAAAATAAACAAAAAACAAAAAAATCTTGTTCCCAGGATGCTTTCAGTAAGGCCGGTCACGTCGATCTGATCTATAATCAGGTCTGAAAGAAAGTCAAAGTTTCCGCACATGTAAGACCATCCAAATGATTATCAACTGCCTGTAGGAAATGCTACCACATCTGGTTCTAAAACAGATTAGATAAAATAGTGCTGTGTTTTCCCAGTCCTTTCACTAAGTTGAGTGATTATAATGGAGTTCTACAGCAATGCAATCAATCACCACATGTTGAGGTCATACGTTAAAAGTGTACAGTAAGTCAGCGCCTTGGGACGTCCTCCCGACGTGAAAGGTGCTATACAAATGTAATCTTCTTGTTGTAGAGATGGCCACAAACTTTATGACATTTCAAGGGCTCCCTCTCAGTTGGTAAACACAGCTCAACGTGTGGAACTGATCCATACAGAACAAGAAGGTCGCAATTTCAATCTCCAATCTGTGGTGAGTTAGCTAATGTCAGCTATTATAATAATCCTTGCATTTGATATAGCCCCTTATCACGTCTTCTAGACGTGTCAAAGCGCTTCACAGGATATTCTGTAAAGTGAACTGACCAACTTATTATTTTTTTTGAAGGACTATTTGGTATGGGGGGGGCGGCGGCACGGAGAACAACTAGGATTCTTTCATCCAACTATTCAATCAACAACCCTACTATGATTCAGTGTAGAACACAATAGCTTCAGTGTTGATCTTCCCATAGTGGGTGTAGCTTTAAGCACTCTGAGACGCCTTCCGGCGTGGAGAGCTCTATATAAATCCAAGTAGTTGTTGTATCTATCTGTGTCATGGCTCACATTGGGGGCAAGATGGCACTCATGAACTGCACAAGTTAGCAACTTCAGAGGGGACGATACACAAGATACTAACAGTAAGGATTATTTAATAGGAACATTGTACTTGGGTTCATACCTTCCTCCCATTTTCCCGGAGCCACCGTATCCACGGTCTCCACCTCTTCCTCCGCGGAATCCTCCACGCCCTCGGAATCCACCTCTGCCACCACCATGGTGTTCTACAGGAAAAGCGGGGAACTGGACTGTTTAACGAATTCCTTGAGAAATCCAGGCTTTGCCTGGAATCCTCAAGGCAATGTCATCAGCCCAACGCATTAGGCAGGCAGCTCGAGACCAATTATGCACCACACATTACTGCACTCAGGGACAGAGCACCAGGTTATGCACAATATACACAAGCACGTTAACCAGAAATTTCACTACGTCTGACTCCGGTGCACTTTCGAGCCCTCTCTCCACTCCCCACCTCCCAATAACCCAACAAATCAGTAAGATGACAAAAATAAAAAATCTGTAGAGAAATGCAATAGCCCTAGGAACCCTGGTGTCAATATTTACCACCACCATCAGCTCGGGGCGTCTTGCACTGATTACATTCATTTCTCCAAGCAAAGTTCACATTGCCGCACGATCTGAAAGAAGAACAAACGAAAATTTAACCGCGAGTCTCATCACCTTGCATGCTCGATGATGGGAAAACAAAATGGCTTTGAATTTTCATCCACTTCTGATTCACCGAATGCTAATAATACTTGCATTTGATATAGTGCCTCATCACATCTTCTAGACATCTCAAAACTAACTTGTAAATTCACACATTACATAACTCAGAAGTCAGACAAATGCACCCACATCAATTCGGAAAGTAAGGCACCCAGACCCTGTGTAAATGCAGATTGTTGTAAACCACTTACTGATTCGGGCAATTCCAGTCATCACCTCTCGGAGCGCCTCCACCCTGAAAGCGACCAAATCCTCGGCCACCACCTAAGGGATTAACCACTGTAAGTCAAACTGCACGTCGCTCTTTTGCAAAATATTCTCAGTTTCACCCACTCCCAAACAAATGTGTACCTCCGCGTCCACCTCCACCTCTGCCACCTCGTACAAACTCTGACCGTCTTGTTGCAAAGGAAACCTTGATTGTGTTGCCATGGAATTCCTTTCCTAAAAGCCGAACATACACAAAAGTTCATTTCTTTGGGAGCAAACTGAATTTAGAACCATTTGCTGTCCAAAAAGCCTCTACAAATGTTTGAATTTTGTGGCTCTGTCCTGTACACTTTTGGTTACCCACCCCAATGAACAAAAAAAATTGCCAGTTTTCCATTGTGAATTAACATCTTTCAAAGGGGCGCACAGCATCATCTTGAAGCATTTTACTAAGGAGGTAGTTGTCTCTATTTGCAAGTCTATTGTGATAAGAGGCGGGGTTTTAAATCTACAAAACACTGAAAAAAAATCAAATACCAACCTGGGAAGGTTCTTTAATGTGCCATTCCTTCAGACATCTTTCCTTTTCCCGATTTAGATAGCTGCTTGAATGCATGGTAGTTTAAATGGCTAAAGTTAGTGACCCCTGAGGCCAATGAATCCCATACATATGGACTCCACCATTGGTGGTTTTCTACAAAAAAATGTCACAGCAATGCTACTGAATATCAGCACATTCAGGACAGGGCTACTTGTTGCAAATAGCATTGCACCTCAATTTCTCTAACAGCCAAATGGTTACTCACTTCTCATGCAGTTAAGTTTCTTCTCCCCACACCCACTCCAAAAATAATAAAAAAAAAATCGGTAGGCATTTTGTGCAAAGGCATTTAAGCAGGATAACGTACCGTCAAACCAATCAATCGCTGCTTTTGCTGATGGTGGGTCATCAAAGGACACCGTGGCTTCACCCTTCAGTTTACCAGTAGCTTTGTCAGTGTAGAGGTTGATCATTGCATTTCCAGTTTTCTTATTAATCTAGTAAGCAGAAGAATCCCAGTAAGAAATTTATTGGCAAATGCTCCTACAGCCCCGCATGGGTTAAAAGTAGAAAGTGTGCACGAACCTTAATCACTCCAATTTGTTTGAAGAAGTCAGCGACTTGGTCAGTTGACACATCTTCGCCTAGACCCTGGACGAAAATGGTGTTGTTATCGGAGTTATCTTCCGAACCTGCAGGTGTAAAACACGCATTAAGCCAACATGACAGTTTCGTAGCATTGATAGTTCAGTTCCTAAAGATACTAGATACTTTGAACTACCTGAAAGTCTCCAAGGACCAAACTTCGGCAATTTAAGATTCTAAAGTTAAAGGTTTGTAACGCATTTTTACTTAAATTAACATTCTAACAGAGCCAAACAATGAAATTCCTTAGCAATTTCAGATACTCAAGAGGAATAAAAAAAATCAATCAGCATATCAACATAAGATGGAAGGCAGAGATACTGGAGCACAAGCCAGAAGACTGAGGAAATAAATACTTAAATTATTTTTCGTAACAGCACAAGAATTATGTAGCTGGATAGCTATATCTTCAGTCTGTTGTGGAGCCTTAAGTAGACTAACAGAAGCAAATCCAAACCAACAAAACATGAAAGATATGACCATCAAGCAACGGCACTACTTTGTTATTCTAGAAACATTGGGTAAAACTTCATAGTACCAAGATCTAAATTTAGCAAAAAGAAAACTGCTGACACATTTTGAAGGGGAAAAAAAAACCCTGAGAAACCAAACTAGCTTTCTCCACAGTTAAGACACCAGAAGTGTACTGCAAATAAGTTCTGAAAATTGCTAATACTAAGACTGAACAAATGAACTGAATACTTTATTTTGACATTGGCTACAGATCCATGGTTGTAGTCTGACAAGTACCGATTGGAAATGCATCTTTATTAAATCAGAATTCATTAGAATCACCATGACATTGTTCGGTAAACTGATGCTCAAACATCTTTGTAACAAAACGCATGAAAGAGATAAATCAATCAGACCGACAAGCCTCCAGTAGAAAGTTTATTGGAATATTGCTACAAACTATACTTAAAATGTGGGGGGTGAAGGGAAGGGAAAAGAATATTTAAGCTGTCCTACCTGGATTAGATCCTTGACCATGGTCTCTTGAGCCTGCGGAGGTAAGAGCTCCAGTTACTATTTCACTGGACTTCAGATTTAAGACACCAAAAATTACACTATGCAAGAACATTCAGAGATGCAAACATGATTAATCCTCCATCTTCTTTGTGTACAACGTTAACCACAAGACACATTTAAAAGCCTTTCTACTTAAGTTTAGAATTGACCTGCATATCAACATTCATTGCTTCGTTTCATCAAGGTGGTGTCCAATAGCATCATGCTGATCGTATCCCATCAATTGTATTAAAAACCACAGGAATGCAACTCCTCTCTGTTACTATGTTGTGCAATTTAAGCTCTACACTTTCGAAGGCAGCACTTTTGTTGATTTGCCCCACCCACCTCCCACTTGGGTAAACACATCTTCTCAAGTTCCAATAATTCAGTTATGTTGATGCAACTGTACAGAAAACCCCACAACCTTTATAAGACTGCATGCGTAGTTCCAGGTTGAATACACTCAGTCATGGTAGTTTATGCTGAACGCTCCCATACTGGAAGTTATGAGGAAATGGTGGCTTTAAGTCACAACTTTCATACAAATTTTCACTGAAACAGTTCCGATACTCTCCACTTACCACCAAAATTATTGAAGCCACCACGGTCACCACCACTGCAGAGGAAAAAATTGAAGAAATGATGCCTTCCTCATGTCAGTTACAAGTTGAAACCAAAATGGCTTTTTTTAAAAAAAAATCTTGACCTGATCCAATGTTGCGTCTCAAGACACATTCTTATTTGCTATTGGTGGCACAACTCGGTCGTTTAAAACCCAAATAGTTTTGCCTTCATGGGGAAAAAAGGCTGTTCCAAGTTCCCTTTTTACTTAAAACAAATACCATTTTAAGAATGCCAAATTTTAGCACCTTCGCAAAACACAAGACACACCGAAGAACCCTTTGGAAAAATATCTTAGTGCTGTTGCAAATGTGTCTACCATTTGGTTTATTAAAGTCAACATTCCCTTCATCTGAGGGTTTCTAGATTTGCTCATGATTCAGCTTTTTCTTGGGATTCGTTGAATAGATAGTTACAAATGTGCATTCTTAATGTTTTGAGTTTGTGCAGTTTAACACTATGGGTTTGTGTAATATTTGAGCTTCAGTTAAGTGATGGTCGAGAAGTGTATTAGTTCATTCACTCTGAAACCTGTAGCACACAAAATGTAGAGCAAGTTAACACAGAACATTCAACTTTAATAGTCTTATTTCAAATCAGCATACACACAAGCCTGGGCTCAAATATGAATGTGGAAGCTATAACATGGGTCCTCTAATCTTTTGGATGAGTAAGGAAGAGAGTACATTCCTAGATGGTAGTATTTTGAACTAGTATAAATGTTTCCTTACAGTAACTGGAAGCCATTTTCTTGAATAATTTTGTTCAATATCTGGGTGGGGGGTTTAGAAGTTTAAATCAGCATATCAAATTTCATGCTGAACACAATAATTTCAGGTTTCCAAACTAACCGACTTATGTTTGTATTTGGTAGTATGTGCAGTGAACGTACAAGCTTTTAAATAGGAATCGAGTGTACGTCATTCAGAACCATAACATGGAACAGATGGGAGTTGAGAATAGACGGAGAAAGAGCCACAGGCTGGTGTTGCCCATTTTCTACTAAAAAAAACACAACCATTTGTTGTTTCCATTTTACCCAACCCCAAGCAATAAAAATGCTTTTAAGGCAAGGTCATCTGAAAGTGCTTTCATGACTCCTCATCCTTCCTCAAAATGGCACTAAGCAGCCAAAGTCAACGCCAACCAAGTTAGCAAATGGCTCCAAAGTACTATGATTGGCATCCTTCTGGATGTAGAATTCCAAATGAGGGAAAGTTGCTTCTGTGCCTTCTAAATAACCAGGGGCAGTCCACTTTGTTTACAGTGGAGACACTTATCGGAGTTGGTCCCATTGTAGATTCATGATGAGAAGCTCCAGTCCAGAAGACATCTGACCAGAGTTATGACATCTGACCAGAATATGCAAGAGGAAAGCACCGAAAGACTTCGCTTCTCATTTAGCCTTTAATATGGTAAAGGTCAATGGAGCATTCAAAAGAGATTCATTCGAAAAAGCTTTACGAAACATCCATATCAGGGTTTCTTAAAACAGATACATCATTCACTGTAACAAGACAAGTTTAGTGTCACACCCAACTGATGCACCAATCTCAGAATATACCTCTACGTAACTGATAGGCAGCATTGTAAACTGTACTAGATTAAGGAAATAATTTCCTTATAGTAGATTTTAAAAGAGCAGCAGGCAACTTCCGCAACAGATGGAATTCCCCCACTGCCATAAATGCATATACTGATGTGGTGTTAGGGCTTCAGATCCTCCATGCAAACCAATAGATTGCAGTTTCTCTATTTGATTTATTGCAACTTTACATTACCCAAACCAGAATCAGTTTAAAATTATTGCACAATATTTTGAACAATCACATTTGTTGTTGTTCTAGATCTCACACAGAGGGAACAGAATGCATTCTTAGATACTGATACTTAATGGGTGGCATTCAGCTATGAAAACATGGCACTGCAAAATAGAACTTTTACCTCTTTTCCTTGTTCCACTCAAGAATGTTAAAAGAACTGTGAACATACTGCAATCTTGTGAAATGAATAAAAAGGTTACCGAAGTACTTCCAAGCTGTTTGTATGTATACCACGTCTGTAACAAACATTTCTATTACATGGCACACCATTATTCAATCCCAATAGTGTTAGTGGCCTTTTATTGAAAGAAGCATTTTCAGATAGTGCCATTTGCAACTGCTTGTAACCAAATTCCCATACAACTGGTGAAGCAACGTCACCCAAGTACCTCCATTAACTTCAAGCTTTGAGATGTCAGACCACAATATGACACGCCTACAAGCATAATGACTGGCCTGTAAGCTCTATTTAATGGTCTTATTGATTAACTCTGGTCTGTCTCGCACACCCCCATGACAAGCCAGAAATACAAAGAAGAGCCCAAAAAGTTACCAAAATTATTCAACTAAAGAGTAATTCATCCAAACCTAGAGCACATGTGGAGCAGATTGTTGACCATCCCAAACTTTCACAAACAGAATTGAAAACGACTAGAAAGTATGTGATAATTTGTTACAGAACATTTTAAAATACTGAATAGTGTTCAATGAAGCAACCAATAAAATGTATAGAAGCATTCTGTGAAGCCGTCTAGTTTCATAACAGACAAGTATAGCCGGGAGGGAACAAAAAAGGAGACTTTTAAAAATAAGTTCTGTTCATTTAAATTCCAATGACTTAAGTTAGTAAGCAAGTAGTAAATGTATGTATGGAACAGGCTCCCTCAGGAGACAGTGGAACCAAAAAGTGTTGACTCTTACAAAAGCAAATTAAGAGTTTTGCTTTTAGGAAATAAGATCTCGCAATACAGTATATAGTTTGGGACATGACTTGTGCATGCATCTGCCAGGATGGTGGAAGGCGAACTATATGGACCTTGGACCTCTTTTGTCTAGCAATTCTTATATTTACAGTTTTACACTTACATTGCAACACACATTACCAGGTAGTTCAAAAGATAGGCACTTGCCTGAGTGGCTAACTTTCTCCCACACCTTCCATTTGATTATTGAAGTACTAAACACTCTGTTCTTACTCAAAGCATCCCCAAGAAATTATTGGACCAACACAAGGCTAAAGAACAAGTTCCACATTCCTGCCATAAATATTTTACTGGAATCTACTGATCGGTCCCTTAAATAAAGGCAATGTTAGTTCATTGATTGTTATATACTTTTAGGAACAGTTTGTGATGTATCCTGCCACTTAATGCCACAGGCAGTAAATACCACAACAGAGTAAAAATAGACACCAAGTACAGTACACAAGTACAAGACCATCCGTCAGTGGGGAGAATGCAAAAAGATCTAAATCTGGATTTGTCTGCCATTTACGCACCAGTTGCTTATACAGTGAAAAGAGGATTGCAGTTTCAATGGAACACTTTCTATGTACTGGTTTGTATCCGAATACTATGAAGATGTCTTATTCTTAAAAGAACCCAGGACAATCTTTGTTTTACATAGCATTTAGACTTACATACATGGACCATATACTTGACATGTCACTAGTTTAAACATTTCAGAAGCTGGTGCCAATATAATTCCCAATGTTCTTCGATCCAGTTTTGGTGACCTCGTCTGAGGAACCAGATTTATAAGGATGCTTTGGAAACGATGCAAGATTTGCATTTAAAAGCATATACAACAACAAATTACATTTGTATGGCACCTTTCACGTTGGGAGGACGTTCCAAGGCACTGAACAGTCATGAATTTGGGGTGGTGGAGGGTAGGGGTAGAAGGGTGGCCGAAGGCATGGTTGAAGAGGAGGGTCTTAAGTCGTGCCTTGAAGAAGGCAAGAGGGGGAGGAAGCCAGGCGAAGGGATGTGGGATGGAGTTCCACAGGGTGGCTGGATGCTCGACCACCGATGGTGGGGCAGACTGGGTGGGGAACATGGAGCAAGCTGCTCTACACAGGTAGAGAAAGTGGTTATCCTTGCATACTGCTCACTAACCAATTCTCTCAGTTAGAATCTCCAATTTCAGGCCAGACATTAACTAGCCCAGTCTGACTTCCAATGCATTGAAATTCCAGTCTGAGGAGCACAGCACAGTTGTCAAAAGTGATGTTTCCTGGACCAAAATCTCTCAACCCATTAATATAAGCAGTGAACATCAGATACAATATTCATCTTAAATAAGTTAGTGGATACTGTAAAATTAGGAGTATTTAAACATTTCTCTCCAAATAAAAGCAGAATTAATTAGTACTGATTAGCTGAAATTTAGAGTTGGGAGCTCTTCTTAAACGATATGTAGCAACAATGTCAATTCAGTAGATTCCCACCCCCTAGTTGAGTTAAAATAGAAAATGTTAGTTGAGCTATTTTAAACTCACCTTTGAAAAAAGGCAGGTTGTGCCATTAAACATACACAAATCAACTTAAGGTTATAGATTCCATTGCACAGATTCGTATTTTAAACAAGGATAATGATAAAACACCTACCCCATTCGACCACGTCCCGCTCTAGAATCACTGTCATAGCCACCATGGCTAAATCCTCCACGGCTTCTACCCCCATTACCCGGCGGCCTGTTATAGCTCCAGCTGTCATCTCCATATTTACTTCTAGCAGGTCTCTCCTGCTCATAGTCATCTGAAGGAAAATAAAAAAGTTAAAAACACTGCATTTCATTGATTTAAAAATAAATCTATTTATTGATATGATTTGCTTTCACCTTCAGAATTTTATCCACAAGAGATCGAAATGACAAAGTTCTGGGACTAATCTGTGAAATACTTTGAATTCAAAATGAATAGGATTGCCTGGCTGCTGTGTTGGTGAGGGGTTAAATGAGTCACCGAGTGTAGTACCGAGACATAAAGCCCAGAAAGCTACATCAAGTGGGTTTTATGTTGCATTACTGGGCTAAAAAAGTCAGCGGGATTACTGATTAACATTCAGCAAGTCTGCTGAAAAAGTTGTATAGTTATGTTCATCTGCAAGCCCCACCTACAGTTAAATAGCCTGGCTACATTTATTATGAAAACATCCAGAGCGACAAACAAGTGTGGGTGGAGGGGAAAAAAAATTGTCACACAAAAACAAACTAAATACTCTTTCTCCCCTTTAGTGTGACCAATGTTTATTTAAATTCAAAAATGAATAGATTACCTCCTGCACTCTGCTGACCGTAGCTCTCGTGAGGTGGAGGATAAGATGTTTGATGACCATAATGTCCTTGCTGGCTACCGTAATCTGTCGGGGGTTTTGAGCTATAGCTGAAACAAAAACACACGTCATCTTAATGGTCATCCTTTTGTTCACTAGGATTTCACTCAATCACTGGAAAGAGAATCCATAACATTGAATATCAATATCAGATAGACCAATCTATGCTAAGAGCTTCCAAAGATAGCTTGCGTTTACATTAGCACACTTTCACATAAATGACATTTTACAAACCAGCTTTTATCTAGCAAAATGTCTATTATAGGCAAAGAAAAGGTTGCACTTAGATTATGACATTATCACCTGGCAGAAGAATCTGACTGCTGTCCATAGCCTCCATAGCCTGATTGTTGTCCATAAGTATTCTGGGAGCTATCACTTCCATAGCTAGAAGACCCATAACCCTGACCATGCTGCGCATAGCTTTGCGTTGACGACTGAGAATTTACTCCTGCACAACAGAACAAATACGATTAGAATACATATAGCCATATTTCAGAATTAAGATAAAGCTCAGAATTAAAAACATGACATACCTGGCTTCGACTGTCCATAACCTGAACCATACCCACTTTGAGTTTGGCTGTGCCCATACCCAGAAGAATCAGACTGCCCATAACCACCATAGCCCTTAGAAGGAAAGAGAAAAAAAGTTACAAAAATATTTTAGGTGCAACAAAGACAACTTAACTCCCACCTTTTCCATTCCAAATAACTATTTTGCTGATGAAATATTGTTTTGAATGTTTTGAAACTACCCTGCTGCAACTTCCTGTGCCATAGAGGTTGCACACCCACGGGCCAACTGCAGTTTCACACAACAATCACAATAATCTCACAATATGTATATTTCAATTAGTCAGTTACCCCAAATGGGAAGAATTCTTGGTTTATGGATACGGTTTCATTGGACCAGGGCCCAATATAGTTCCCTCATTAACAGGCCCTTCTAAATATTGCAGGGGTACAACATACGGTTGCAATGAATATTCTGAAGTCAGACCACATTAAGCTTTACATACAAGAAATCACAACCAAGATTGGTTAAAAATCCGGTATCGGAATATGAACAAAAGTAAAGCTTCCACTTATAAAACAGCATCTTTCACAGACAGAGTGGGAGCCTAATAGTGGAAGGGATAGGAATGAGTGACTGAAGGCACAAAGGCAGTTTTCCTCGAGTGGGACAAAGTGGCTGAAATTTCACCTGCCAAAAGTAGGACAGAGGACACAAAACAATCTTGAGTTAACAGTGGGGAGGGAGGACTGCAGGATATTAAGAGACAGGGCAAAAGTGTGGAAGCACTTAAAAATGAGTTTGAAAATAAATGAATAACCAAAAAAAACCTGGGATATTCTGCAATTCAAACATCACTCCAAACTAAGCTTTAAGCACGTGAGTAACCTGCCTAAGCAGGCAGGACACATTCGCAATAATTGCTATTCTGCTTCACGTGTTCCAGATGAAATAAGTTGGGAACCCGACCATAGTCCAACTGGGAACTCTTGTGCTGGATTTTTTTAAACAAACAATCTATTTTATAGGAAACTCAAAATATAAGATTGTAATATGCAATGCTTTCATAAGGGGAAGACAAGGTTGCATTATTAAATATTAATCCACTGCTGAAATACCAGTGGCAAAAGGAAATGGACAGGTAAAGCAGCAAAGTTAGTTCATACAGGAAAGTAACAATCTGGACCACTTCAGAATGCTGGCTAGACAAGGGTGACTTCAGCAACTAAGCATCTGAAGTTGAAATTAAATTAACGCCACAATGGGTGTACAACATACAAGAATAATTAATACACCCAACAACTAGTTGCTGCTCATCTTATAGATTCTGTCACATTTAGGTGGCGTAGCATACTGAGAGAAGCATCAACATGCTGCACCAGTGATGGGACGGACATAGAATAAATCGCTGTTGTTGCAAAGCAGCTGAGAGGCACCAGGTGCCATTCACCGATCCTCCCAAGCAGCTACTTTCAGAGTGTGGGAGTTACTCTCTTACAATGGTGTACAATGAGGTTATCTTATGGAATTCTCAACCAAAACAGCAGCAGCCGTAAATGTTAAACCGTGTATGTAACTCAACCTGCAGAATACATGTGCACATGCATAAGATGAATATGAAGACTGAGAAACAAATAAAACGAGAATTCTATTGATTCGGTGAGAAGCATGGCACTACAAAGGACTTACCTTAGCAGGTGGGAAAAAAATAGCACATTTTAAACCTGAATGAGATTAAACACAATTGTTGAATAAGGCATAATCACATGCTTGAGGGATGGATTCTTTTAAAGTTATTTTTCAGCACTAGCCTAAATCCTGTATTGTCCATCCATGATAAGATCAGGCTGGGCTTCCCAAGGTCACAATATCGGATATATCAGCAGAAAGTCTTTGCAGAAAGCAAATTTGTATCATAACATTTTATGGGCCAGTTTAATGAGAACCAAGATTAGCTCTGCAAAAGATTACCTTTGCAGGGAGTGGGGGGGGGGTAGTTCCTTGAGCACAATCACATGAGATACATCCCACTTCAAAATTAGCCACCCTTTTTCAATTGGTTAACTGTTAACATTAACATCACATTGTTTTGACTAGCATTGATAACCGGTGGATAAAGCAGCCTGTTCTTTCCACAAGTCAATACTTACATCAAAGATACAAATATAGCACTATAGAAAAAGTTCACTGGCCTTTTTTTGGCAAGGCTGATCACAACATGGCCAGTCATCATCTCCATGTAGTGTTCAACCTAATTCACCTAGAATCACACACCTGTGCAGCATGTCCATAACTTTGGCCCGACTGAGAAGCATATGCTCCATAGCTGCAAGAAAGGTGAGGGGGAAGAAAGGTAAATAATAGGATCCAAAAAGATGACAAGCTTCAGATTCTGCAGAAAGCTATACAAGACATTCTGGGCAGAATACCCTGCCCATTTTCTATATCAATTTGAATACAGCAATGCCCATTCAAGCAGTCATGAGGTAAATGTCCAATTTTATCTGGAGGATTGTTTGCTATGACACCAGGAGAAACTCCTCTTTTTCCAATAGTGACATGGGATATTTAGCATCCACCTGAACGAGACCTCTGTTTAACATGTCATCCAAAGGACTGTGCCTCCAACAATGCATCTCTCACTCAATATTGAAGTGAATGTCAGCCAAGATTGAATCTCAAAGTCCCACTTGGGGCTCGAACCTACAACCTTCTGAAACAGAAGTGAGTGCTACCAACTATGCCCGGCTGACACCTGTGCAATACTAATGTGTGGAGAATAACATTTATTAAACCTTCGGCAGAAAAAGAAACCGGGCATTAATGAGTTGAACATTGTCACAAGATTAGGAAAGCACCACACAACAACATATCTCCAAGGTTTTTTTAAGGCAACATTTTTAAGGCCTCAAATTTACCAATGCTATTATATAAAACCAAGAATTCACATTGGCATTCAATTCTAAATAAAATTGACTCCCACTCAGTGGTAACTTAAGAGCTGCATAGCTGACAATTTCATTTGAAGCTATGCACCCATTTTTAGGTTTTTCCCTGCAACACTAAAAAAGTTAGCTTATTTATGCAATGGCAATCCACACTAAAATTACAGTTAATCTTCTCAATTCCATTGTTTAAAGCTATTTTCATCTTGGGAGTCTTCCTTCAGTCTTGTACATTTTTTAGCCTTTCAATGCAGGATAACTTGAACTATTAACATTTTAGAAACCGATCGAAAATCCTTTCTACTTGGCACTGTATGCATCTTACCAATAATTTACCACTTCAATCCATTTCCCAAATAGGGAAACAAGCACAGAATGGCATAAAACACCTATGACCATTTGAGCAATGACTTAAAGGCTGAAACCTTACAGAGGATCAAAGTTTTAAGTATGCATTTGTATTGTGTTACATGGACCTTTATGGCACCGATTGTCAAGTTTTAAAGTACAGTATACAGAAGTCAGTCTTTGAGAACAAAACAATCCTTAATCCACTAACATGCACACATACCTTTGTGCTTGAGCTCCAGGCTGACTGTAATTTCCAAAATACTAGTATTAAAAAAGTAAAACATCAGTGATGGGTTTGCAATCAGTAAAACCTCTCAATCCAGTTCAGTCTAATGATTTTCACAAATACAAAGATTAGCAGTGTACCAGTCTTGTGAGAGAAAGCAACATGTGGCAATTCTATTTTGACAACAGCTAGTTAACATTCCCACAAAGCTCAGTTAAAATACCTTAGAAAAAACAAGTGAAAAAAATAACTCGAAGGCTACCTTCAGGAATCCAGAACTATCTTTGAGCAAATAAACTGAATGCCTTTAAAATGTTGCACTAAATTAAGAGTTCAAGCATAGTAAGCAGAATATGAAAGCAGAATGTATCAAAATAAAATTTTGACACCAACGTGAACATTTCAAAATGAAATCCTAATCTCTAATCTGCACCCCTAAATCAATGCAAGTGAATCTTTTTAAAGAAATAGGCACGTCTCCTTGCTTCAGTCTTTATTGTGCTGTATAAGAGCAACGTTTCAAATTAACTACGGGCTTGATATCCGTGTATGATGCACTATTTAACACATGTCCCCTAACCAATGCTTTTTTTTATTAAAAAAAAAGTCAGATTAAATGTTTGAGGATGCGAACGAATAACCCGACCAAAAGAACTTGGGCATCCTCGCAGAAAAATGGGGTGGGTTTGTTAAAATATGCCTAAGCATCCTTTAAGGCCACTGTATTCACTCACTCGTGCTCCAAATTTGGTCAGCACGTTGGGAGAGGGGGGGGGGGAGAGAGAAAAAAAAAACTCTTGCACTGGACCACTTGAGTAATTCGGTCCTCACAAGAGGAGAGATCAGTTTGTATTTGTGCTATCAAGGTTACAGGGGGAAAAGAGGGCGCCGTCTCCTTCTGGTTACAAAAGCAGGCGGCTTGGTATTGAAGCACCGGCACGAGCCTCGGGGGAGAGAGAGAGCAGATGGGTTGATGAATCCGTTCCATTTTATTTGGTGGTGGAGGGAGGGAGGGAGGGAAGACGAGGGGGTCGCTCTCCTCAAGGCTCTTCCCTCAAAATGGCGCCCAGCCCAGCATTTGGAACTGCGTCACCCGCCTTTCTCCCTCAAGCTGCCTCGGGAGCCCGGTCAGGAGGCCAGCAGTCATGCCACAGGCCTCGCCTCCACCCCTCCCTCCCCCCCTCACGTTATTTAACAGCACGACTGAATCCCCTCCCGAAACCCCCCCCCCGCCTCCACCCACCACCCACAGGGTAAAAACCGTGCCGGGCGGCGAGCTTCAAGAACGCCTCCATATTTTTTTTTTGGGGGGGGGGGGGGGGGCGGAGAGAAAAAAAGGCGACGGCGAAGGCCCGGCGCCGGAGAGAAGCGTCACTCGCGGCCTCTTCCTGCGGAGTTTACCTCAAAGCGAGTTAAGGAGCGGGTAAAGCTGCCCCTCAGGCCGCTGGGGTGGGTGTGTGTGTGTGTGTTTTGTGAGAAAGACAAGGGGTGGGAGGGTTGTTGCTGAGTGACGGGCTTCGGGCCTAACCTGAGCCACGATGCTCCCGTCTTTAATAAGCACCACCCCCTCTCCCCCTCTCCCACCACCGGCTTCGTCTTCCCGCCCGCGGACCAGGCCCAGGCGGGCGAGAGAGGGGGAGAGTGCGGCCGGTCGCTTTGTTTTTGTTATCGTCCAGGCGACTGGACTCGAGTCTTACCGGACATGCTGCGCCCGCGTTGCCTCACACATACACACTGAGACCTCGATCGCACTCGCTGGGCTCAACGGTAAATGGCGGTCTGGCTTGTACCAACTCGCTCCTGGTGGTGGGGGGGGGGGAAGAGAAGGTAGGAAAAGGTGGGGGGGGGAGGATAAAATTAAAGCAAATGACTTTTAAGGGCAGAGACGGTTGCTTCTTTTTTTTTTGGTTTACGATCAGGGGGGAAGACGTCTGTGCTTTTTTTTTTCAGAGAGGAAAATGTGGGTTGACTTTTGCAGTACTCCTTCCCCCCCCCCCCCCCCTTTTCAGAAAGTGGTAGCGGCTGGTCTGACCCAGTTCCGGGGCTGGCTGGAACCGGTTCTGGCTGACACCACGTGACGCGGTTCCCACCTGTGCGCGGGAGGGAGCGACTGAGCATGCGCAGAGCTCACCCCCCCCCCCCCCCCCTTCGTTGAGAGGGAGGAAGTTGTTCACAACACAACCAATAACAACAACAACAACAACAGCAGCAGCCGCCACTTGCCTTCACGGCGGAGCGCTTGGCACCGAATGCCCAGTGTGTTGCAGCAGTCGTTCCGTGCGCGTGTGACGCGGCGCCTGGTCGCGTCGTCGAGACGTCTCGAGGCGCTTCTATAATAATGATAATAATAATCCTCGCATTTGATATAGCGCTTTTCACGGCGGGAGGACGTCCCAAAGCGCTTCACGGAACACACTGTCAAGTGAACTGACTGTATATTTGGGGGTGAACGCGGCAGCCGATTGCGCACAGCGATGTCCCACAAACAGTCGTGGATTGAAAATGACCAATTTATTCTTTTTGGTTTTGGAGGGATTATTATTAGGCTCTGTGTGGAGTAAGGAAACTTGCCCGAGGTTTCGCCCTCTACCTGGAATTGAACTCAGGTCTCTCACTTGCAAAGCGAGTGCTCTAACCACTGAGCCACAGGACTGTAATATCTTCGCGGGATGTGCCGGGAAGCGGAATCGCCGTGTGATTCGTGGGCGAAATGTGGCAGCTAGTTTGTGCGCCGCTCGCCGTGACCCAGAAACAGATCGTTGGTCAGGACACCGGGGAGAAACTCCTTTCTCTTTTAGAGTAGTGCCGCAGTACCTTTTAACGCCCACCTGAAAAAGGACAAATGGTACACCTTGCTTTACGTAGAGGCACTGACAACAACTGGGTATTAACTCAAGATTATTGGTTGAATCATAAAATGGGTCAAAGGTGAGAGATTAAACATATAACATAGAATGGGGGAATGAGGAGCGAAATAGGATTAGAGTAGCTGGCAACAGTGGAGTTAGCCTGGTGCAGGCATGATGGGACCACATAGCCCCTTTTGGTCCTAATATTTCTATTTTGCTAACTCCCTGTGAAAACGTCACATTAGAAAGCTAGTCAGAAAGTCACTAGCATCTTGACCTTTTAAGACTTTAAACATGAACAAGCCTATAAATACATTTTATCAGCACCAGAATAGGCTTCACGGCATCAGTGGTAACTGGAGATACTTTTGCATCAGTTCTTGCCAATTTTAACATATTTTAAGTGCCAGAGCAATGAATCACTGTGGCAAAATGTGAACTGATGTGACAATTTGTTAAAACACCCAGACTTTGGAGCAATGACAGGAGCTGTATGTGGAAGAGTGAAATAGAAAATTTGTGCCAACCCAATAAATAAATTGCGTGCACAAGTGACCACTGACCAAGAAAATTAATCCAACAATGGATCCAACAATCTCTAATGCGTCCAATTTATTTATGGGCTGGTATGAATAAATACATTAGCAGACAGTTCATGGCTGTGTAAAAATTCTTGCATTTGATATAGCGCCTTATCATGTCTTCGAGAGGTCTCAAAGCGCTTCACAGAGTACACTGGTAAAGTGAATTGACTGTATATTTTGTATATAACAGCGGAAACGGTATTCTAAGGGAACGCACAAGCAAAGAATTTGCATTCATCGCTCAAAGCAATGCATAGATATTCACTGTTAAGTGGAGTGACATTTTATTCCCATTCATCAAGGAGGAGAGTGTGTATTCCATTCCAAACATAGGGAAGTTTCCACGGGTCGGTTGGCATACATATGGGGAACTCTGGTCTTGGATGCTCTTAAGCCCGTTGATGGGGTTTCCGCGCCTGTCAGACACCCGGTTGACCGCAACCATTGTTAAAAGGGGTGACGGACATGGCGTGAATTGCTTTCGACCGGCACCCGCCCTCCCCCGTAACCATCCGGAAAACAAATCGCTTGATCAAAAAGAACCATCTCTTCTTAAAAAAAAAGCACACACGCGCACACACACACCCTTGGAAAGTCGGACAAGAACTGACGGCCGAAACGTGCCGGCTTGACCCTTTCTGCGTCTCAACAACCCGTGACGTTCATCAGGTTAGGGGGGGGGGGAGGGGGGGTTAACGTCTTAAGCGCTCGCTGGCCGGAGCACAGTCACTACACTTGACCGACGGCCATCACCCGTCGAAGACCTTTTGAGGTGTTGTACGTTCAAATGCAATCTTTATTACCCTGATTGATTGATTGATTGATTGATTGATTGATTGATTGATTGATTGATTATGATGAGGGGAGGGAGGGGGCGGTGTGAGCTGCAGCCCTGTGGGACTAGGCCCGAGGCCTGCTGTTGCCATGGTGACGGCGCGCCGCCGGGCCCGGGGCGGATCTGGCGTCACGCGCTGCCGGGGCTTCCGGCCCCCGCGAGGCCTCGCAGGGCCAGGCTTCCCCCCCCCCCACCCCACTCTCGCGCCCCAGGGCCCAACGGAGCTGGGGATGGAAGCGGCGCCCGGCCCCCACTTCGTGCGGCCCCCCACCCCGACCCTGGCCAACCTGGTCAGGTCCAGCCTGCCCGAGGTGCCGTGCGGCACGGCCTGTGTCATCATCCTGGCCGTCTTCACCTACTGGCTCACCTGCTCCCTCGGCCTCCTGGGCACGGCGGCCTTCACGCTGGCCCCCGCCACCATGAGCCGCTACCAGGGTAGGAGGCCGACCCCGACCCCTCACTCTCTCTCATTACCCCCCCACCCCCCCACCACCCCCCCCCCCCCCCAACCCCCACCCCCCACCCACACCCCCCCCATACACTCCCAAACACCCCACCCCCATACACCCCAAACAGCCCCACCCAAACCCCCACCCATACACCCCAAACACCCCCACCCATACCCCCCCACCCCCCCCCCCCCCCCCCCCCCCCCCCCCCCCCCCCCCCCCCCCCCCCCCCCCCCCCCCCCCCCCCCCCCCCCACCCCCACCCATACACCCCAAACACCCCCACCCCCCATACACCCCCAAACACCCCCCCCCACACCCCCCCCCCCCCCCCCCCCCCCCCCCCCCCCCCCCCCCCCCCCCCCCCCCCCCCCCCCCCCCCCCCCCCCCCCCCCCCCCCCCACACCACCCCCCCACACACACTCAACCTGTCCCCCTCCCCCAGACACCCACACCACACCCGCCTCTCACACCCCTCACCCCCCCCTCATATTACTGCCCCCCCACCCACTCTCAATTCGAACCCCCCCATATACCCTCATAAACCCCCATCCTCTTACATCTCCTCACCAAGATCCACTTTACACCGTCACCCATCCCCTCCTCCCTCACATACTCTCAACCTGACCCCCGCCCACCACACATCTTCATCCCCTTCATAAACCCCCCCACCCTCACACATACTCTCCACCCAACCCCCTCACAACAAACTCACCTGCTCCCGCCCCCCATGCGCCGGTTCCCATCCCCCTCCCTTGAAGCAACCAGTGCTGTTGTACCTTGTATAAATGAGACCTTCTTCCTGTAGCTATTCATGTATTTTTGTTTCCGCAGTGTACCGCATATATTCATATGTGTTCATCCATAAAACTATGAGTGCGCTGGTGTGCAACATTCTTCTATTCTGGCATTTCAGTCGTGGTTTGGAAAAGAGCGTTGGAACAGTGAAGTATTGGTACCTGATTTTCGTCTTTACACTGCTCACCGCAATACTCTACATTTCCCTGGGTACATTAATGGTCGGAATGAAGAACATAAGAGAAATTCAGGGATTCACTATATTAGTATCTTCCATTGTGGGAATGATAGTCCCACTCTCCCCGATGAAAACCATCGTGTTCATAACGAATGTTAAAACTGTCCACCTGCCTTTGGTTTTGCTGTTTGTCGCCCTTTTTATCCCTGAATCATACATTCTGGGCAATATCTGTGGACTTGGAGTAGGATTCTTTTGTATCCTTTCATTCTTAAGTGGTTTCTGTAATGCACAGCTGTAAATCATAATACATAAGCCTAGGGATCTTTTTCTAGAAACCTGTTATATTGTGCCAACTTATGCTATGGTTTCTGGCCTGTGAAAGCTATAGTTATACAACAACAACTTGCATTTATGTAGTGCCCTTCGAGCTAAGTCGAGCTACCTATCATCCCGTTGTGTAGTGGTCAGAGAACTCGCCTCACAAGTGAGAGGACCCAGGGTCGATTCCCAGACAGGGCGAAACCTTAGTCAAGTTACCTCACTCCACACACTTCTGTTTACTTGCAGGAAGCAGGAACTTGGTTGTTAATTGATTGGCGGATCACTTTCCAGGGGTAATAATCCCTCAAAAAAAACACTTTACAATATATTCCATGAAGTTCTTTGAGACATCTTAGCATTGTTACAAAGACCTATATCAAATGCAAGTATTATTATTGTGAAACTTAGGTGGGTGTAATAAGACTTTGCTCGTGCTGTCCATAATGTGGGGGTACTTGGTGCTGTAATTGATCATCAGATGGGACTGCCATTTATGTAAGATATATTATCCCTTTATCAGGGAATCTGAGTACAGTATGTCTGGCTTGGCATATGTATTTGTCCTTAACAGTGTTTGCTAGATGCTTTAGGGAGAAGGTATTTTCGTTTTCTGGATATGTCTGAGTCGACTGCTGCCTCTCTCGAAGGGCATTACCCATTTACCCAGTTGAAGGAAATTTCAGGAACAACCTACTATCCAGCCTTGTGGGAGGAGAGAAATCTCGAGCTGACCGATAGGTAAGCACCCTATCTTTTAAAAATACAATGTTTTACCTAAAAGAAAATGGGTTACCTTCCTTCCACCCCACTTCCAGAAGAAAATGCACCGCTGTATTATTTCTGTCCAAATCTCTTGAAAACACTGATTCATGTTCTGTTAATGGTTCCGAGTGGTGGCAGCTCTTCAATACATCTTCCGATGGCTATTCTTCATAATGCGAGCCTAGGGGGAGGGAGGGGAGCCCAGGGCAGTGCGGGAGGTTCAGCTTAACCTCATGCACAGTGAAATACAGAGCAATGCCATTGTGTTGTAAACAAAAGCTGGCGTACGATCAAGGTCTATATATCAGGCAATTTTTGGCAGGACCTACACTCTGTGGCCATGCTATATAATGGGTCACACGGCAGCAGCAGGTACACACATTGATCAACTTGCAAGATTTTATATAGTTTGAAGCTTTAACTTCCCTTGAAGTTCTGGCTCATAATAATAACTGCTTGGAAGACATTCCATAAGGAGTCTCCTTGTCAATTCCTGAGCGCCTCTTCTGTTCATTTATATATTTTTTTGTTTCCATTGTCGATGTCACAGGGTTTTGCTGAACCCCATTGTGTGTCGTAGCTGAATTAACAACCGATCAAAGTGTTACCACCAACTGAGCACAGTGATGTGCCTAAGGCTCCTGAGAGCTCATCAGGAAAAAAATTCTAAAGGTGGTTGTTTCTGAACACTAAACACTATAAGCTGTGTTCGTTGGCTTAAATGGGTTAAATTCCTGAATGTTACTTTGAAAATCTGAGGCATTGAGCTGTAGCAATGCAATGCAGCGGATCAAATCAGTGTTACAGTTTTATTTCCAAATGCCGGCTGTTTGATCTTAATTCAGCAATATTTCAGAATATAGAACCCAACCCAAGTGGTAACAGGCAACACAATTGTAACTGCTTTCTAGTCAGTGGTTTCTATGTCTATTTTTTTTACGAGTCTCTTTGACGTTGCACCGAGCAGCAAAACCGTAGTAGGTTCCTGACTCTTAAAGCTTGTTTTGAGATCTTGCCTAACAGTAGTATTTCGTTTTCAGGTGGTTTCGCATGTGGGAATGACTATTTCACATGGTCAGGGAGAGGATTTGTCATTATTGATGTACTTTAGTTGCATGAATTGGACCCGTTTTATAATTAGCTGCCACATGAATACAGGACAGTTTACGGCAGGGCAAATGTTTTCAGTCAACCACAAAAGGTGAGATGATGGGAGCCATCTCTGTACTGCAGCATCTGTAAGTAGGACAATTAAAGAGTTGAAGACAATCCTAAGAGTTTGTTATTTTTTAGGCTTTTTGTCTCTCTAAACCCCCTCCTCTGCCCTCTCCCACCCCCGACCTTGCCCTGCTCCAGTTGTACCACATTCGCAGGGGAGAAGCTATTGTATTCTATAACAATGGTAATTCTTGCATTTCATATAGCGCCCTATCATGTCTTCGAGATGTCTCAAAGCGCTTCACAGGGTACACTGTAAAATGTAATGACTGTTTTGAGGGCGAAACTCCCACCTAAATCTACTAACTAAATGCAAGTGGTTGCTTTCTCCATGCCTTGCCAATGATGCCCTGCAACCAACCAAGGGAGAAACATTGGAGATTTCAGCACAGAAGGAGGCCTTGTGCCCCACTATGTCTGTTGGGCGAGCGCTCCCACCACTGGAGCTATTTTAGCCAACACGTGTGATATTGACCCTACATTACAATAGTCTTATTTCTTAATTTTTTTTATTATTTCCTTTTTTATGCAACGGCTAATAATCCTTAGCATTTGATATAGCACCTTATCACGTCATCGAGACATCTCAAAGCGCTTCACAGTAACAGTGTAGGAAAGGTTCAAGCGATCATAGAGTGATACTTGGCAACCCTTATTTTCTTGAGCACTGTGGTGATACCTTTTTCTTTTTCCCCCTGTACCCCTTATGAGTGTGCAAGTGTACAGTTGTAGGGTACAAGTTATTCATTTGCACTAACAGGTGAGCTAAACACTTCTCATCTCCCACACACACAAACTCCATAATTCAGAGTTTAGTTCTGAGTACTTCAAGCAAAGACATCTTAGGACTTTTGCATACATATTGCTGTTGGGTGTGTTCTGCTGCTGCAACTACACGTAATTCAGAACACTTTACACCAAGCAAGGCATTGGCACTGCTATTGGGAAAGGTTTCCCACAGATGGAATAGGGTGATGGTCTCTTAAATGGCAAACATATGGAACAAAAACTATACATTTGATGCCCTTCCAGTTGGGATCAACACTGACATCGACCCTTTCATTAAACGTTATATGTTATAACAGTTATTAATCTGCATTCCTGACTGCGGTTCTGTTAGTTCCTACCCTGTATTTCCCCAAGGTCTGTGCCACTCCTCATTTCTTAATAATAATAAGTTGATTTGGTGCCTTTCACCTCGGAAAGACCTCGCAAAACGCTTCAAAGGATATACTGTTAAAGTGTAGTGACTGTGTTTTGTAGGTGAGATGTTTTGGGGTTGACACCACATCTATTAAAACGCGACAATAGTTGTGAATAGACAACTAATTACCAAATTTCAAAACCCTCCACTGGTTTCTACCCCACCCCCCAAAAAAAAACTTGCAGCAACACTGTAAACGTGTATACTAGATTTGGTCTGTTTGATGGCTTGAAGAGTCCAGTGTGATAACAATGGCCTATGGATCCATTTGGGTCTATATGAGACCCTAGTTCCTGCCATACTTTGGGCCAATCCATCAGGTTAAGGAATATGAACAGCACCTTTGACTCATTGTTTAACCCCACCTTCCTGTTGCTTCTCAACTGGGAAAATCAGGTAGAGGTACGTGCCCCTTTCATAGGCTGATTCGGGAACAGCTTGGCATTTCAAAGGGCGAAATGTCCCAACCTTCATTTAATTGAAATGCGCAGCTCCTTTAAAGGAGCACCACAATAGGGAAGATGGGCCAAATGGCTTCTTTCTATGCGGTAATTTCAATGACATCACTCTTTCTGGATCCAACATTCTAATTTCCCTTTTTTGGTCGTCTGGTTCACTCATTTAATTTCCTGAACTAGAAGCCGCAGTACCTGTTTTTAGTCAGTGAAACCGTTCCAGTGAGGGATAGAGGCCTTGGGGAGTAGCCAGGAGCCACCCAATAATCAAACAATCTATGTAAAATTGAAAGATGCTAATAGGATTTAGACACAGCATTTTTATACAGTGGGAGAGTTATTTGGTAGCAATGTAGAGGGCGTGTTCGAAATCAAACCTTCAATTATAAAGGCTCACTCTCCTTTGTTCAGTATACCGTATTATCCCCCGAATTTACCTCTGACAAACCATCGATCCTCTTAATTCAGTAATTTTAGAATGGATTTGGAAAAGTATTGTGAATCCTGGATGGAGGAAATAATAATAATCTTGCATGTGATATAACGCCTTATCACATCGTTGAGACATCTGAAAGCGCTTCATAGAATATACTGTAAAGTGATAAAGAAATATAAATAAATAGAACTGTGGAAATTCTCTATAAGCCTGAATTGATGCTGTTCTTAAAGACGTGAAAGCATCTTATTTAGAATTGTTGAACATATGTAATTGACATCTGGACCTTGTGGGCCTAACACTGATCAGTAAGGGTGAAATGCGAACTCCAGGTTATCACAGACCCAAAACACAGTTCAACGGTAATTACGTTTTTTGTGTACACATTCAACATATACACTTAACACATGTGGCAGATTCCAGAATTTAAAATAATTCTAGCTAGTTGCTGAGCGTTTTAGCAATGAGCTAACAATTCTAGGATTGAGGACTGGGGTCAAAAGTGCTACAAATGCTGTAAATTAATTTATTTTGTTTGCTGAACGGCTGAAATAATAGTCTAAATCACAGGCGCTGGAGCTAAAAATAGCTGATTCCTGGAACGGTTACATTTTTCTCAGACCCAGAATCGTCGCTATTAATCCCGAGGGAGAAATATGAAATTGGCCATCTGAGAGGTAATTGAGAGCGTTTCCTCGCTAATTATTGAGGCTGCATTTTTTTTTAAAAAAAAAAGAACAGAAGAATTGGGCAAAACTTCCAAGGGAGCAATTGGGATAATAATGGGAAAGTTGTTAAATTCTAAAATATCCAAAGGGTGATGTCCATTATAGGCAATGCATTACATTGAAAAGATTATTGTTGTTGCTGTTTAGTGGCCAAGCTTATGGGGTTGTGGGAGAAACTAGCTCGGGAGCTAATGCTGTCACTAGCAGGCCATTAGGTGACTCATTCTTCCTAACATTGCAGTGTAATGTTCCCTTTCTCCCCACCCCAACCCATTGTGTGTTCTGGTTCACACTTATGACAGCGCAAGTGGCATAGATAAGTGTTAAAAATGATGCGTGGAATGGAACTCTGGCTGGCGTTCACTTATCCCAGTGTTTCTCCCATGGGAACGCTCCTACTGGAGGATAAGTTACTCTCTTTGGAGGGGCAATCAGAGGAGGAATCAAATGGGAAATAATCTGGTCTCTGACACTGTCTGTTTTCCAGGTCTTTTTGAGTCTCTTACTGAATACGTTTGCGTCATTTCCGTTCTTCCTTTACTCATTTCAGTCTTACTCATTTCATCTCAGTCTGCGACTGAGTGTTGTATCACTGAATTATGTCAGCACAGAAGGTGTTTATGGAGTCTCTGGCGGACCAGGCAAGCTCCCCACTGTATGAGTTTCATTCCTTCTTAGACTTAAATAACTGGCTTTTTATCTTATTCTTGATTAAGCCACTGGTTGAGTTCTTGCTGTTTTTACATTTCCCTCCGATGGGCAGATGTCGTTTCCACATCCGTTGAAGCCCATTTTGGTTTTGTTTCCATCGTTTTGTTCTCCTGGGCTAAATCCCTTTTATTACAGTGTCCTCCTTGTGGTTTTGTCTATGTCTACTCCTCTTTGGATATGTGTATTGTTCTTGGCCTAGGGCGTAATTGCGATATCGAATGCAACCATGCAAGTCAAATGCTAAGTAGAAACAGACCATCTTAACATTATAAAAATCTTAGCTTTTCAATGATAAACATTAAAAAGCTGAAATGTCAATAACGACCAGAAGAATTTACAAATGTTTTTGCTTGGCAAATGTTTTCCAAATGTCTCATGTTCAGGCTTCACACGAACATAAAAGTCCCGTGTTTCTCAGGGTGAGAAAGGGGCTTGCAGTGCAAGCGAAGCATTGCAAGATGTTTCTAATAATTGCTGTAGAAAGATGATACCTCGGATTCCTATGTATCCTGCAGCTGCAAAAGAGTTAATGTAAAACATTCGAACTGTGATTAATGGGATTGGCTATCAATTTGGCTCTGGAATGAGAATATTGGCTGTGTATAAATTACAATCACTTAAAGATTGAGCGGATCAGTTCATTTTCCTCCCAATTGTCAGAGAATTCAAACCGTCTCGCTTTCCGTCCTTCAGATGAGACGTTAGACCGAGGTGTGTGCCTGTTCCGGTGGAACGTCAAAGATCCCGCGGCCCTGTTTGAAAAGAGAAGCGAGTTTCTCCTGGTGTCCTGCCTGACTATCTCCCCAGATTATAAAACTGGTCATTCGCTCTGTGAATCGGCTGGGTTCAACTATAAAATTGGTCAGAGCACAGTGCAAACTGAATGCAGAGGACAAAGTGGGCAATAATAACAATCCTTGCATTTTGGTATAGCTCCTCTCACGTCAGACGTCTCAACGTGTTTCACGGGATTCACTCACTGTGCAGTGTAGTGACTATATGCTTGAAGGTGAATGTTGTGGCCAATTTGGACACAGTGACGTCCCCACAAATGATGTGTGTGAGCATTCGGGAGTGAGCTGATGAAAGGGAGACAGCTAACATGATGCAGTTTCCCTTCCGTCCAGTTCCTTTGTTTTTCATTAAGATAAACGATTTGTAGCATTGACCCAGGATGGTTTAGGCTTTATCCCCCCCCGTCCCTCCCCTTCTTGGGTTTAATATAACATTCTCAAGACCCGAATGAGAATCCATTTATAAAACACCAGTGACAATCACTCCTGCCAGTCAGGAATCTAGAATTTATTTTCTGCTTGACCGAATGCACATGGACTTCGTAGCAAAAATCATGTCTTAATTGGATTTTTCTCTCTCTCTGCTTTTCCCCAGCCGCGACCTGGAATTGCAATAAATCTTGCGGCGTTCTCCTTTATTAAAGCAGTGGGCAATTGTTCTGCTTTTAATTACTGTGTCCAGCCCAGCTTAATATTTCATTGGGGGAAAAAGAAACTAATAAAGAAGTGGTTATAAACTGTTACCGGGTGATCAGTCAATAAAGGCAAGATTTGGTCGGTACACCGCGCTCTCTGTGACATGTCACGATAATGGAACGTCTTCTGGTGAGATAAGTGCCTGTCAGACGCACTCTCAGGATACATGGGATCACGTCAGTGTAGGAACAGAGCTCGTTTAGCTTTAAAATCGCTCTCGGCAGATGTTTGAATGAAAAATGCCCCGCGGGCCTATTTAACACAGGATAATGCAGATCTGGGAGTGATTATAGTGTGGTCTTATAGTGCTCTTCAGATGAATTCCAACCACCCCCCACCCCCATCCCAAAGAGGCAATGATTCCTTTCAGAATCTGCCCCCTGAGATTACAGCTTTGAAGACATGCCAAGGTATCTCTTCCCCCACCCCGGTGTAAACGAGAATAACCTGCAAAACCTCATGCATGTTCCCTGTGCTCTACTCTCCAGTTCGATCAGTAACACAGCAATACTCTGATGGTCAAAGTTTGTGCATTTCTGTGGATGGGGATTGGGGGTGGGAAGAGGAGAAAGAAGAGAAATGAGCATGGGAACACTTTAAAACTATCTGTTTTCTGAAGATGAAACATCTAAGCTGGGGTATATGTGTGTGAGGCGATTCATTTGGGCTCTGTGCACTGTTATACAAATAGTCAGTGATCTCTCTTGGTACAATGCATTTACATTTACACAGTGCCTTTCATGTCTAGAGGACATCATCCAGAGGATCTTGACAGCGCTGGCTTGGCACCCGCCCTGGGTGGGGCGAGAGTCAAGGGGAGTGTGGGGGGAAAGATGACCAAAGACACGGTCAAAGAGAGAGGTTTATGAGTTGAGACCGACCTTGACGGGTGTGGGAAAGGGGCGAGTCGCAGAGACTCTTGAGTACCAGAGAGTGGTAGCTGTGGGGAACATCAATTTTTTTCTAAAAAAAAGTCCAGTGTATCTATCCCACTTCTTAACGGCGCATTGCAGCTTTCTTTACACGTTGTATTGCTGTATTACTGAGGGCAGGTTTGCCAAGAATCCGAGCGCATCCACCCATACTTGAAACCCAGAGCAGATGGTCTGTTCGGCGTGGTTGGAATGCAAGAGATCTGTGTCCGATCGGGAATTTCGTGCTGTAAGTGGGAAATTCTCATCGCAGTTTTTTTTGTTGTTGTTGCTGGGGATCGATCGGAGGCTGTGATTTGTTCTGTTTTGCTTTTAATCAACATCTAAACGCTCTCGAACCTCAGGGTGTTGTCCGGCACGTTGGGGTGGAGGGGGCACAATTCAACATTGGGATCATTTTTTCCTCCCCTCTGTGTTTTTAGGATCAAACCTTCACCAGGATCCTATCCTACACAAACCTATTACTGCCCAGCCACTATCCCAGGGGCTGTGAATGAGCTGGGACATTGGTATGGAACACAGCATCAACAGAGACCAGGCCAAGGTCTTGGATACTCCTACGGACAGTGTGGTGATCACCAACACGCTGAGCGATGCGAGCAGCCCCAGATTCATCCTCATAGACACCAACATTCCTACTATGGCATCCCTGCTGGTTACACCAGACAGCAAGCTGCGGAGGGACCAGCTCTGCACCACTGATGCCCCTCTTCACCACTGGATGCCTTGCACACAAGCCTGGCGATGCCTTTGAGAGGCGGGCAGAACTCTCCAATGGGTAATGGGTATACAAAGCCTGGCGGCTTTGGCTCGAACAAGCACAAAAGTGCAGAAAGTCCACGTTGATCTGTAGTGGTTTGTACAGGGTGTTCACAAAGTCCGATTACCTTCCCCCCGCCCCCATTTGTTTTATTTTACAAAGTGCACTGACCAACAACCAAAACATAATACAACTACTAAAAATAATAATCCTTGCATTTGATATAGAGCCTTATCGCGTCTTTGCAACATCTCAAAGCGCTTCACAGTATATACTGTAAAGGGGGTTGATTGTATTTGTGGTAGAATGATAATTGTGTGTGTGTATTTGTGTGTGTGTGAGTGTGCGCACATCATCATTTTCATGGCAGATAATAATCTGTCGCCAGGACTTTGTGAACAGTTGGTGTCAATAGGAATGGGAAGCCTTTGAAGAAGTTTAACATTGGAAAATGGCTTATTGCTTAAGGTATGTTTATTATTTCTATTGTCTGGGTGGATGAACAGCAATAATCACTCTTCCGCCTTTTGATTTCCTCAGGTTTGAAATGGAAATGAGTTTCACGATCCTCCTGTTTTACTGGGTCTGTTTGTGTACCACTTCACGGAGTGGATTTCCTTGTGATATTTTTGTGTATGTGGGAAAGGGTGGGGAGAATAAGCAGATCTGTAAAATAATACAATAAAAAATTACATTTATACATCATTTTTCATTCAGGAGGACGTCACCGGGTGCTGGAAAATCTTAGGATTTGCACCTGAGCTGGGGAGAGGGGAAAGGTAATAATAAGTCTTCATTTGATACAGCGCCTTATCACGTCGTTGAGACGTCTCAAAGCGCTTCACAGAATATACTGAAAAGTGAATTGGCTACAATTTGTGGGCAAAGATGGTCGAAAGTGTGGTCAAGGAGGAAGGTTTTGCAGTGGAGGGAAACAATTTTTTGACATTGCTGCCGATTGATAGACTTGTTTTGGCATGTTGTGGTCTAATGTTTCTAGTGGAATGTTTGACATTCTAGCTCTGTTTACACGTGCAACCTTACTGTGGGGTGGGGAGTTAGCACCGTAACGAATATATTTTGCAGAGTTGTTTGGTTCAAAAGAGTTCAACATAGAAATCTCACTCGCTGTGCATCACATTTTTGTCGAGTGACTAATTGTTTTCCAACATGAAATCTGTGGAAATGTTGGTAATGAGCGTGGGCTGGGCGGATAGTGTTGAACGGAAATGCCATGGCGTTGGGAAACAGAGCAGTCAAACCATTGCTGACTATCATTCACCAAGATTGCAAAGGTGCAGAATGGTGTTCTCCTTACTGCTTAACATAGGAACAGGAGTAGGCTATTCAACCTGTTCCACCATTCTATAAGATCATGGCTGATCTGAACCTCAACTCCAATTCCCCGCCCTTGCCTTATATCTCTTGATACCCCGATCTGATAAATATTTAACCAACTCAGTCTTCAAAATTTGAATGGATACAGCATCCACAGCCTTTGTTTTGGATGTTCTGTATGACCTCTTCTTCCCACTGCTGATCAACCACTACGTCTCTATCTCACCCGTCCCACGCTCTCTCCGTCTTTAAATCCTACTTACCCCTTCCACCACGCCTATACAGTCACATCTCCACCCCCCCCCCCCCCCCCCCTCCACTTCTCCCTCACTCGGGGTCTGATCCCCATCACTACGAAGTGCTCTCCGACATCCTATGCTGAGGGTGCTGTGTAAATGCAAGTTGTGTAAACGCACTGCCTAGTGCACAATACCCTTCAGTACTTGACTTGTACAGGATCATGACATAAGCCTACCTTTCCCCCTCCCCCCACCCCATAAAAAATCTACCCCCTGTGTTTAGAAATCACAAAGTCAGATATGAAAGCGGCAGCAGCTACTCTGTATTGTATGAAAAGTCGAGGTTGAGAGTAACTCTCGTGATTCTGTACCGCGGTTGTTAACAGTTTTGCCCAAACGGAGCAAAGGAGGGAACTAAGGGTGGCTCCCTTTGGTGTGTGTAAACGTGTACTTGGCATGCAGTTTGAATGTCTCACATAGACCTCTTGAGTAAGGACTTTTGATTCATCGTGTATACTGCTAGTGGTGACACGTCCAACAGTACTGGGGTTGGGAGGGACTCGGTGACCAAACCTTTCACAAACGCGATGATGAAAGACGTCTGCTGTCATAGCCGCTCGCTCTCTACCAATGCTGTCTTTTTTTTAAAAAAGCATAATTATTAAAACCTCTTGTGAGTAAGGACTTGTGATTCACCCTGTGTAATGCGAGCGTGATATAATGTCCTGCACACCTACTGGGGTAAGGCTTAGGAGCAGCTCTTCTGTTGGGCAACGCTATGACTTGTGGTCAGGACACCCCTTGTTTGTGTTTTGACTTTGGTTTGGTGGCATTGACTCAGAGGACTTGACTTGAGTCACCCACCGTCAGGAGAATCCGGTTACCTGGTAACTACAAACACCAGACACTTTAACTGGCACACAGTCGAGCCCGGACCCTCTTGATTTTTCGCCCAGTTAATTATCCATGATGGTTAGCTTGACACTCGTTCTCTCTTTCTTTTTCGCGCTCTCTCTCTCTCGCTCGCTTTCAGGTGTTAGTTTAATACAGAGAATGGTTGCCCAGGAGCAATGCCCATCAGGGTTCGCTTTGCACTTCATCTCATTTTGGAGAGCGTTGGTCAGACAAAACTCCACCTGTCAAATGTGAATCTCTTCGTCTGGTCTGGGTACTCTTAATCAGTGTCAGCCCCCCGCTGCACCAGCCACCTACCTATACTTCCCATCCCTTGGCCAGGATCGCTAGTTAAGTGCAAATCTGCGTTGAATTACAGGTGGTTTATGCTCTAGGATGCGCTGTCTCGGTTCCATATTTCATCCACAAAATACACAATCAATTCACTTGACAGTATATCCTGTGAAGCGTTCTGAGACGTGATGAGGTGCTACATCAAATGCGAGGATTAGTATTATTACTATTAAGTGGCGGCAGCAACCAGGGTGGATCAATGCACCTGGGTAAGTGAAGGGCTAAATATATTCGCCAAAACCATAAGTACACATGTTACGAGGCAGGAATTAAGAAGAAGGTAAGCACGGTCCATGCTGACGGGGCAACAGGTTTTTGATACAGACACACCGACCCCTAAATCATTCTTGCATTTCACTTCTGCTTTTGCGGAGACAGGTGTGCAAATTCAAGGAAGTGGAAAAGTTCGGAAGCTTTGTCTTTCCCTCTGTTGCACACTTTTTTCGCTTTCTCCTCTCTCACTTCCCCCTCGCCCCTCACTCCTTCTCCTGAAGGTTATATGTTACTTATCCTAAGCTCAAAGTTTGGGGCTGGGGGAGACGGGGCTGCATTGTTGGAGGTGCCGACCTTTTAGGTGAGATGTTTAACCGAGGTCCTCGTCTGCCTTTTCAGCTGGATGTTAAAGATCTGGCACTCATACCAATAGCCTGCCTTAGAGGAGCATAAACCAGAGAGAGGGAGATGGAGGGATCAAACCTCAGGTTATTCAATAGCAGATTTTGAAGAGATGAACAGCGCAAAAAATCTTTGGACTTTAATATTTCCCCCTGGACCACCCTTACTTCGTGACTCCCATTACCTGAAGTGCGGGGATGATTTATGTCGCTTTCTGTTTTAAAAACTCTCTCCTATTGTTTTCCTTTAACGTCCGTGCGATAAATCTCAGCCGTTCTTGTAATAACAACTGTGTTGGGGTGGGGGAGCTTGTCGGCCGGGGGGTGAGCAACGCTGATATATTAACAGCTGTGGAAGTGGTTAGTTTGGCGTTCTCTCTCCGCACTGTAACCTTCTCTGACTCTCTCAGCTATTGTCAAAGCTCCTTATTGTTCGTATTCAGACGTTAAAAGCTGAGCACCCAATTTACCCTCGTTTATCTGGACTTTAGAGCTCCCGGCACATTGCCCTGAAATTCTCTCTGTTTCCTACCCGAGAGATGTCGCTCCTTCCTCTCCCCCTCCCCCCCCCCCCCCCCCAACCTGACCATATTTACCCCACATAATAATCATCCTTGCATTTGTCGGAAGGACGTCTCAGAGCGCTTCACAAGATATAGTGTAAAGTGGATTGACTTGTGTATTTTGTGGGTGAAACACAGCAGCCAGTTTGCGCACCTCAACATCCCACAAACAGCCACGGAGTAAATGAACGATTTGATTTGGGAGATTGTTGGCCAGGATACCGGAGAGAAACTCTTCTCTTTTCGATTAGCGCCTCAGGATCTTTTAACTTTGACCGGCCACGTGAACAGGCAGACGGAGAGCTCGGTTTAACGTCTCATCCGAAGGATAACTGCAAATTGCTGTCGTCGTTGCAGTGCAGTGTGCGAGTTTTTTGTGGTTAACGCAAATGCGTGTGCGCTAGAGTGTTGTGAGGACCGTATAATGTGAGGCGTGCTGTTTATCACTCGGCAGCTGGGCTCCACGATAACAGAGGAAATCTGCCAGTTAGTAAGTCAGTTGTACAGAGCCCAAGGGAGAGTGCAACACAGCTAATTCTGGCTAAGAAAGCAACCTGTTTGCTACAGTATCTGCTCAGCCCAACCCTCGTTGTTTTCAAAGGGAAAGCTTTAACCCTTACTGCATCTTTTTCTGCTCTCGAAGCACTATTGCAAGAGGGAAGTAAGTCCCGGCTGACCATTCCACATCGGGAGCTGAGCCTTAGGTCACTACGCCCTGTACCGATGGAAGCTCACTGCCTCATTCCCCCCGCCTTGCTCCCCCCACCCCACCCACCCACTCGTTCTTTCCCACTCGAGGTCCGGTCTGTGCCTGTTCAGGTGAACGTTACAAGATCCCGTGGCGCTATTCGAAAAGAGGAGAGTTTTGCTCTCTCAACATCCTGTCCCAACAGTCGCCCCCGCCCCCCGAACACCCCAAATGAAATTGGTCACTTGTTTCGAGGCTGTTTGCAGGATGTTGCTGTGTGTCATTGGGCAACTGCGTTTGCCCCCCCAGATAAAGTCACTCCATGTGATGGTAAATCCTGGGAAGTGATTTGAGGCGTCCTCCAGACGCAGAAACCTATAACAACTGCAAGGATTATTAGTAGTAATATTAGTATTTCAATTGCCCCTAAAGACTTTCCTCTTTGACTGTGGGATCACCCCCCCACCCCTCTCCAATTCCTTTCAACTAACCTCCCGGAGAAGTCACTTCTGAACAACGAGCGAGTAACTAAACTGCACAGGTCAGTAACACAGCACAGAGTACTATCGTGAGTGAGTGAGTGCGCCATTCCCCGTTCAGAAGCATTTTTCTTCTCGGGTGTCAATGTTAACTTGAGCCGCTGAGCAGAGGAATTGGGGGAATTCTCAAGGGCAAATAGAGTCTTTGTGTTGCTGGGTGAGTGACAATCTCAACACACACAAAGAGAAACCAAGGGTCAGTATAATAATAGTAATATTATTGCATGTATATATACACACATATATAAAACAGGCTGTACATATAGGTATTTAAAGGCTGAAGATGCATGGAGACAAGATTTGTGTATGTGTGTGGAGATTGAACCCACAACCTTCTGACTCCGAGGTGAGAGAGAGCACTACCGACTGAGCCACAGGCTGACACATACGGTGAGACACGAAACCGCAGCTCGAGCCTGTCCAATTGCCCAAGGTTTCAGTGAAAGTCTTGCGTTCCTTCATTAATTCTGGAATCTCTGCTCGAGCCCACTGTGTGCAGTCCAATGATGTGCCCTCGGCTCAGTTATCCTCGCTAATACGCATAAATGTGGAGAGAGAGAGAGAGAGCAGGCCTCTGACCTGTGTACTGGAAAGGTTCCAGTTATTGCAACGCCCCGACTGTGTGGAATGCCATTATGTGAAATCTTAGTGTCGATTTACTCGATTGGCTGAGGTTTCGTTGACCCGCAGGCGTTTATCTGGCAAAGTTACAAACCCCAACACCTGCCAAACCCCGCTTTCATACTGTTTTTGCGGGGTGTCTGACACACACGGAAACCCATCACCTTGATCAGCCGGGTGTCTGGCACACACGGAAACCCATCACCTTGATCAGCCGGGTGTCTGACACGCACGGAAACCCATCACCTTGATCAGCCGGGTGTCTGACACGCACGGAAACCCATCACCTTGATCAGCCGGGTGTCTGGCACGCACGGAAACCCATCACCTTGATCAGCCGGGTGTCTGGCACACACGGAAACCCATCACCTTGATCAGCCGGGTGTCTGGCACACACGGAAACCCATCACCTTGATCAGCCGGGTGTCTGACACGCACGGAAACCCATCACTGTGATCAGTTGGGTGTCTGACACGCACGGAAACCCATCCCCCCGATCAGCCGGGTGTCTGACAGATGCGGAAGCCCATCCCCGTGACAGGCTCTGCGTCCCCCTGAACAGATTTCTCCTTGGAAGAAAATTCCTTAAAACAAGCACGGTACGGATTCCGTGTGTGTTGGAACCCAGTTTAAGGTTGTTTCGATTTGAACCAATACCTATATATATATATATATATTATACGTATGTATAAAAAACAACCGGTTAGGGCGCGAGTGAGTGAGCACATCTCTCTGGGGGGCTTATTGTGACCTCACGGCTACATCATGGCTATTACAGTTTAAACAGCCCGGGGTGAAAGGGGTGGGGGAGAGGGGGAGAGGGACAGGGGAAGGAAAGACAGGCGGCCGACAAGTTTAATAACAAGAGGGGAATTTTTTTTTAGTATTTACTGTATAAATATATATATTTATAATCTGTACATAAATAAGCGGAGTAGGGACCAACCAGCCTGGGGCTTAGAGGAAACCAAAGACAAGGCCCAAGGTGATGGCGGTTAACGTTCACTGCCCCTCGGCGACCAATGACAACCTGAGCCGCCACGAGATGTTGGCTTGGGTCAATGACGCCCTGCGGGTGGCTTACACCAGGACGGAGCAGCTTTGCTCGGGCGCTGCCTACTGTCAGCTGATGGATATGATGTTCCCTGGTTGCATTGGTCTCAAGAAGGTCAAGTTCCAAGCCAAGCTGGAGCACGAGTTCATCCACAACTTCAAGCTGCTGCAGTTGGCCTTCAAGAAGACGGGGGTGGAGAAGATCATCCCGGTGGACAAGCTGGTCAAGGGCAAGTTCCAGGACAACTTTGAGTTTGTGCAGTGGTTCAAGAGGTTCTTTGACGCCAACTACAACGGGAGGGAGTATGAGCCGCTGCTGGCTCGTCAAGGCCAGGACACGGGGCCTCCTCCAACGCCCACCGGTCTGCACCACCTCAATCACCAGGACACAACCGTCTTCAACAAGCCCAAGAAGACCCTCAGCACCGACGGGAGCCGGGGAGTTGGCGGTCTAGCCGTACCGGACAGGAAGACCCTGCTCAAGTCCACTTCGTCCGGGACCCACCTGTCCAGGTCGAAGGGCGTTGTGGTCTCCAAAGCTATGGCTCCGACGCCCGCTAAGATGGGGGTCACGCGGGGGGGAGGCGGGAACCGGGAGCGGCCAGGCATGGCGGGCAACGGGGACACACAAGCCGCCGAGCTGGCCGAAGAGGTGAAGACGCTGAAAGTGGCGCTGGAGGAGCTGGAGAAGGAGAGAGACTTTTACTTTGGGAAGTTGAGGGGCATCGAGGTGATCTGCCAGGAGAACCAGGCGGACAGCCACACGGTCATCCAGCAGGTGGAGAAGGTGCTGTACAGCGTGGGCGACACCTTCGCTCAACCCGACAGCACGAGCGAGCAGCGACCGGACGAACATGAACAGGAGGAGTATTGAAGAAATAGCGGTGGGGAGGTGGGGAAAGAGTGGTGGGGGGTGGGGGGGTGTTGGTGGTTGGGGGGGAGGCGGGGGGGGAGAAGAATAAAACATGACCCAGGCTTTCCTGATATGATGTTGCAATTTTGTGCAGAGACGGGCAGAGGAATGGGGGATAGGGGGTGTTGGGGGGAAAAGACGACCCCCTCCCCTCCTCCCCTCTCCTCCCCCCCACCCCCCCACCCCCTCTCATTTTCTGTGAAACCATAAGAGACTTTTTTTGTACACTTGTTAGTTGTAAGCAAAATTAAAGAGTGGCTTAGTCTCCTTTCCTGTTTGTAAGTGCATTCTTTTCTTCCTTTCCCTTTACTCTTGCAGATGTTTTGGGTTCCCCTTTGACTTGAGTGGACGCCAACATCTGGTTTGTTTGCGGCAGTGTGGACCGAATAACGTATGGGATTAAGCCTGATCCCCCCCCCCCCACCCACACCCTCAAAACACACACACACACACCTCGGGACTTGGAATCACATAGTCTTGAGATGACGCTCCCATGCAAGTGCTGGGGATTGGGTGGCGGTGGGGGGGTGAGGTTTGTGCTGCATTGTCGGACCCCGTCGAGTGCAATTCGCTGCCGCGTTTCGCCCACAAAACTCACAGCGTTTACACTTCACACTACGCCCTGTGAAGCGCTTTGAGACGTGTTGATGACCTGATGAGGCGCTCGCTCGCTGCATCGGGTCCTGCAGTGTCCTGTGAGCGATAGGAAGTGTTTGGTTACCATCTGCTGGTGATGGTGGAGCAGTGCAATACCTCTGCACTCCTATGACGTACAGCAGTAAAATATGATTGAAATAACAAGCAGCTGATTAAGCACGATTGGAATTTAACCTTATTAAAATTGGGGACGTGGTGCAAATATTTCCTTCCTCCCCCCCCCCACATACACACAAACACTGCCCCCCCCCCCCCCCACCACCAGCTCAGCAGACAGCATCGGACCGTGAGCTCACAGACCCCCAATATAGGGGCTTGAACCCCAACCTTATGACTCAGGGGTGAGAGTGCCAACAGCTCAGCCTCAGGCTGACATTGCTGGATGTGGTTTAAGACCGTGCAAATGCAAATTGTTGTTGGGAAGAGGATTGCAGTTATAATAATAACGATCCTTGCATTTGACACAGCACCTTATCAACTCATTGTGACGTCTCAAAGTGCAACACAGAATATGCTGTAAAGTGGATTGACTGTGTATTTTGTGGTCACGGGGCAGGATCCCACAAACAGTTGTGGGTTACGTAACCACATTTATTTGTACATGACTAAAGTGTGTACAGCAAAGATAAACATTACAAACTAGTTTCCAGACACTGCTCCAGTCCTGATCTAATCTTAGGAAGTCCCGCCTGCCTTGAGTTTTGTTCTCTGCACTCTGGCAGTCAGACAGACACAGCCAGTCTCGCTGGGAAACATGGCGTTCCTGACTGTCCCTCAGTTCCTGATCCCAGGCTTTGACAGAGTCACTTTACTGGCCGTGTTCTGCACAGTCTTTGCTCTGGTCTTTGACTTCATGAAGAGGAGACAAAAGTGCATCAACTATCCCCCGGGACCCTGGACGCTGCCTTTCATCGGGAGTGTTTTTCACGTCAGCAACGACAATCCTTCCACATCGTTTGAAAAGGTAAAGAGCTGGGCGTCACTGAGAGCTCTATGGTTAAAGGGTCTCTTTGTCTCTATTATTGTCCAGAGTTGGGTTGATTTCTGTGGTTCCTGCTGCTTTCTTTCATTGCATTCAATTTCACTCTCTGTCTTTTTAGTGACATGGGGACACACCCACGTCTAGAACTGATCTTTCATTGTAACTTTTGGACAGAATGATATTACAGTGGAGGTCCGTGTATTCTGGTGAAAATAAATGTGGGAATTTAGAGGCTCATTCACTCTTCCAGCTTAACTTTCAGGCTATTTGCTTTTAATAATAATAATAACAATCCTTACATTTAGAACATCGTGTTTTCCGTCAGGTGGACATCTCAAAGCTCTTTGCAGGATTTTACTGGAAAGTGTAGTGACTTGAACCTCCAACCGCCTAAAAAATTAAACACTAAAGAAAGAGAGAGAGAGAGTGCTAAACACCCAAGCCAAACTGGCAGGAGATCTCATCAATGATCTGGTGTACAACCCTACCTCTGCAACCTCTTACCACCAGATCAACCTCTCCGCTCGGCGGGTACTGACCTACTCCCATGTCCCCCGTCCTGCCCGGCCCACCATTGTCAGTCGGGTCTTCAGCTGTTCCTCCCCCATCCACTGGAACTACATCCCCAAATCCTTCCACCTCACCCCCTCTCTCACCTCCTTCAAGGTCCATCTCACGTCCTTCCTCTGTGAACGTGCCTTCGGCCGCCCTCCTACCCCTAATGCGTTGTAAATGTAATTCGTTGTTGTTGTTCATCCAAAGCTCTGCAGTCAATACGGCAACATATTCAGTCTGCAGTTCGGGTGGACGGATGTGGTGGTGCTGAACGGCTACGAGACCATCAAGGAGGGTCTGGTGAAGAAATCGGAAGATACGTCCGATCGACCGATCCTTCCCATCTATGAAAAATATGGGAAGCTGTTTGGGGAAGGTAACTATCGCATGCTTCCCCGCTCACTTCTCCGAACGACAACACCCCCTCTTCACCCTACAGGAGTCCTGTCGTGCAGTGGTTTTCGCGCTCGCCTCGGTCGATTGGTGGATCACTTTCCAGGGGATAATAATCCCTTGAAAAATAAATAATATGAATAATTTGGTCACTCAATCCACGACTGTTAGTAGGACACCACTGTGCGCAATTGGCTGCTGTATTTTGCCCACAAAATATACCCAGTCAGTCCACTTCACAATATAATTCTCTGAAGCACTTTGACACGATAAGGCGATGTATCAAATGCAAGGATTATTATTATTATGTGCGTGATTTAATCAACGTCCCTTTTAACCACACAGGGATTTCTCCCAACTCCGACCTTCTTCCCGTGTGCAGCAACAGCAGTTTGCAGTTGCACAGCATTTAGATAGATATAAACCGTGTCTTGCGATGGAAGCCGTTAGAACCCTCTTTTCTTTGAGTCAGAAGTTTGCCAACCTGTCCCCCTCCCAACGCTGTTTGCAGGCATTCTCTTTGCAAGGTTCGGCAAGTGGTGGCGGGATCAAAGGAGGTTTGCTCTCTCCACGCTGAAGAACTTTGGGTTGGGGAAGAACTCTCTGGAGGCCCGAATCGTGGAGGAGGCGAGCTTTTTAAACGATGAATTCGAAGCCGAGATTGGTGAGAAATTACCAGGGAATTCACCTCCTCGTTACCCTGTAACTTTCTGACAGCGACCGACTGAAAGGATTCGGGATTGGGATGTAAAATAGGGGCTCCGCTTCATGGTGGTGTCGGGGGCGGGGGGCATGGGGGTGGGTGGTGCTTGGTAGCCAATCGCTCGGGAGCGAAATATGGGGTTGGGGGGGGGGCGAATTATGGGGTTTGGGAGATTTCCCCACTTACCGTATCGCCAGTCCGCCGCTGTTTTCAGGCAAATGTTAGACATCACAGAGACTTAGTCTGAGAACGCGACTCTCTTTCCCTCTTAGATGTGGAGTTACACAGAGTGATTCAGACCCTTAAAGCAGACAATCAGCAACATGTGATCGATATACCGTCCAAACTATACAAAAAGGGGTCAAAGTGTTCATAACTTGGAACGGTTCGTAACTTTAGGCGTCGTTGAGTCAGCAAAACAAGAGGCAATGGGTCAGAGTTTACAAATGGAAAGTACAGCCGTGGTGTGTGTGTTTATCTCGGAGGATAATTAACAGCTGGGAGAGGGGATGCCAGGAAGCTGGGGCCAGGACGCTGTGATGGGGGTGGGGGAATGGGGGAGATCAGATGGGCTGAAAGGGTCCTCTTCATCCTACACATTAGTGTCCCATAGCATAGTGGTTAGTACGCTCGCCTCGCAAGCGAGAGGACCCGGGTTCGATTTCTGGGAGAGGCAAGTTTCCTTAGTCCACACACCTACTGTTCACCTTGCAGTAAGTAGGAACCCGGTTGTTAGTTGATTGGTGGATCGCTTTCCGGGGGTCATAATCCCACTGCTGTGCGCAATTAACTGCCACATCTCGCCCACAAAATACCCAGTCAGTTCTCTTTACAGTATATCCTGTGAAGCGCTTTGAGACGTCTCAAAGACTTGATAAGGCGCTGCATCAAATGCAAGGATTATTATTATTATTATATGGAGTTGAGGTACAAATCAGCCATGATCTAATAGAATGGCAGAACAGGTTGGAGGGGGCTGAATGGCCTCCTCCTGTTCCCATGTTCCTATATTATAATTGTGATGGTGTGATAGCTGATTGCTGTCCATTTCCCTATATTAGGTCACCCTTTTGACCCACATTTCAGAATAAACAACGCTGCTTCCAATATCATCTGCTCCCTCATTTTTGGGGATCGTTTCGACTACCAGGATAAAAAATTCCTTCATCTACTAGAGTTAATTGATGAGAGCGTGGTGCTGGAGGCTGGATTTTGGGCTAAGGTAAGGCAGAGTCGATTGGACAACAATAGTATAAGAGGTTAAATCTCTAATATGCTAACCTCTCTACGGTTAAAACTCTTAAACCGCTGCCCTCCAGGCACTCACTGACTCACCAACCACCTAATATAGAGTTGGTTTCACCAGTTGGTCTGTTTGTCTGTCTGTCGTCTATCTGTTTGTCTGTCTGTCTGACTGATTGACTGACTGTCTGTCCGTCTGTTGCAGTTGGTGAACATGTTCCCCTTTATTGACGGCCTCCCTGGGCCCCATCGCAGAATCTTTGAGAACCAAAAGAAGATGGTTGAGTTTATCCAGGAAATAGTCGCTGAGCACAAGGAAGTTTGGGATCCCAACGAGCCAAGAGACTTCATTGACGCCTTCTTAGTGGAGTGTGAGAAGGTAACACTGACCGGAAGATTTGTTAGATGATGATGATGTTGTTGTTCTAATGATTCTCAATCCCTAACACTTTTGTGTTAAGTAAATCCTTTACACTCTGCTTCCCAACAATCTAATACTTGAGAGTATTAGCCTGTCCTCCCAACGTGAAATATAATTGGGATGTCCTCCTGACGTGAAAGGCGATTTACAAATGTAATTTTGTTGTTGCTGTTGTCGTTGTAGTCCAAACATACACCCACACCAGTTGTTTCGCCTACGAAAACATACAGTGTACCAGACTTTAATATACTGTAAAGTGAACTGATTGTATATTGTGTGAGTTATCAGGAATTGACTGTATTGTGATTCTGATTGCTTTACAATGTTGTTTCTGGCACTGACTGTCTTGAGTTCACCTGCAGATGAAGGCGACTCCCAATACGAGCTTCACTGAGACCAGCCTGTACAGCACAACCCTGGATCTCTTCGGAGCCGGTACCGAGACCACCTCCACCACCCTCCGTTGGGGGCTGCTCTTCATGGTCTTATTCCCCGATATCCAGGGTAAGGATTCCCATCTGGCTGTGGCGTTACTAGGTGGGGGGGGTCCCCTACGTATGGGAGTCGAGAAAGGCGATCGGCTGACGCGTTTCGTCCACATAATACACCAGTCACTCCACTTTACAGTATATCCTGTGAAGCACTTTGAGACATGTCAATGACCTGATCCAGCGCTGTATGAAATGCAAGGATTTCTTTCTATTTTCTGTTCCCGTGCTGTTTCCAGTCTTTCTAAATCCATGCGATGGACATGGGGTGTTTCCCTACTGTCAACTACAAAGTGTGTAATCAGTGGCCAATTTTCTTCCCCACTGCAGAGAAGGTCCAGGAAGAGATTGACCAAGTGATCGGGACGGAGAGGAAGCCGGCTCTGGGGAACCAGAAGACGATGGCATTCACCAACGCTGTCATCCACGAAACCCAACGCTTCGGAAGCATTGTCCCAAACTCATTGCCACATGAGACGTCCAGAGATACAGAGATCATGGGGTTCTCCATTCCAAAGGTGGCTCTGGGTGACATTACAATGATATAGCGCCTCTCATGTCGGAAGGTAAAGTTTTTCCAGTCACCTCCTGGGCTAACGTTTCTGTTTCCACAGGGAACGATGGTTATACCAAACCTCTCCTCCGCCCTCTACGATCCCAAATTTTGGGCGAAGCCGCACGAGTTTAATCCGGGTCATTTCCTTAACGACAGTGGGCGGTTTGTGAAGCCGGAAGCCTTCATCCCCTTCTCTGCAGGTAACACAGCGCACGAGAGCGAGAGCGGGAGCTACAACATGGCGGCTTTATGTTGCTTTGATAATAACAACAACATGCACCTCTCACATCGGGAGGATGTCCCAAGGTGTTGGGCGGCTCAGATGCCAGCCCGGCTCAGTTGGTAGCGATCTCACCTCTTGAGTCAGAAGGTTGTGGTTCACTCAAACTACACCATGACTGTTCGGGGGACACTGCTGTGTGCAATTCACAGGAGTGTTTACACTCATAAAATACTCAGTCACTACACTTTACAATATATTCTGTGAAGTGCTGTGAGACATCTCGAAGACATGATCAAGCACTATATCGAATGCAAGGATTATTATAATTTATAATATAATTTAATATATATAATATGTTATAATTTGTTGTCTGTGTTATTCCCCCCCGCAGGGCCTCGCGTGTGCCTGGGGGAGCAGTTGGCGAAGATGGAACTCTTCCTGTTCTTCACTTCCTTGCTCCAACGATTCACATTCTTCCTGCCGGAGAACGAGCCCAAACCCAGCTACACCCGCACCAAATATGGGATCACCCGCAGCCCAATGCCATTCCAGCTCTGTGTTCGACTCAGATAAACTCGGAGCTCCTGTTCATCGCTGTGTTCTGCATTATTAACAGCCTGGACTGTCACACAGGATAGAGCCTGTCACTGACCTGTGATTAACGTAGTTGTGTGTTGAATTCGGAAGGACTGGCTGACGTAGTGATTAACATCGTCAGGTAAATAATGACAACACTTATGTTTGACGTCGGGAGTTGCAGAATCATTTATGAATCGACCTTTGCTATAAATCGCTGCAAACAGAGCAAAGTCCGTGTAATAAAATGGGCTGAAAAAAACGAATTTCACACATCTGGAAATAAAAGTATAAACTATTTTGTTTAAACTGTAGTAAACATCGCTCCTTGTTTTTAATTCAGTGCCACTCAGTGGCGAACGGCGTTTGGAGACACACACCATGGTTACTCCATCCCCGCATCACTCTGCCTCACCCCCTCCTTATCCTCCATCAAGTCTCGCCTCAAGACCCTCCTCTTCGACTATGCCATCGGCCACCCCCTCTCCCCCTCCCCTCCCTTCTCCCTCCCCTGACCCCACCTCAGGTCTGAAATGCTGTACACTGTCCAGTGCCTTGGGACGTCCTCCTAACGTGAAAGGCGCTATACAAATGTAGTCTTGTTGTTGTTAAGAGTCTCCAAACCAAGCCGAGAATTCCATGCATCCCACCTACACATGGTAACCCCAGAGAGAGATTGTTGGAATTGAAGGCGTGTATGAGGTTTTCAGCGTCCTGGTGGGTGAGGCTGTGGCGGTGTCGGGCAATGTTGCGGAGGTGGAGGAAGGCAGAGAGGGTTGTGGCACGGATATGCGGGGGAAAGGACAGTTGAGCATCGAACAAGATGCCTAATCTTAGGAAGTCCCGCCTGCCATGAGTTTTGTTCTCTGCCGTCGGTGGAGCTGGGCTGGTGGGGGCGTTGTTAGTCAGACTTGTCAGACTGGTCAGACAGCCAGTCTCACTGGGAAACATGGAGTTCCTGACTGTCCTTCAGTTCCTGATCCCAGGCTTTGACAGAGTCACTTTACTGGCCGTGTTCTGCACAGTCTTTGCTCTGGTCTTTGACTTCTTGAAGAGGAGACAAAAGTGCATCAACTATCCCCCGGGCCCCTGGACGCTGCCCTTCATCGGGAGTGTTTTTCATGTCAGCAACAACAACCCCTACACATCGTTTGAAAAGGTAAAGAGCTGGGCCTTTCTGTGGTTAAGTGTCTCTTTGTCTCTGTGTTGGGTTAATTTTTAATCCTTGCATTTGATACACTGCTTTTCACGTCTTCTCGACGTCTCAAAGGGTTTTACAGAATATACTGTAAGTGAATTGACTGTATATTTTGTGGGCGAAACCCGGCAGCCAATTGCGCACAGCAGCGTCCCACAAACAGTTGAGGATTGAGTGACCAATTTGTTACTTTATTTATTCATTTCCTTGAGGGATTATTATCAGACCTGTGGAGTAAGGAAATTTACCCAAGGTGTTGCCCAGCCAGGAATCAAACCCAGGTCTCTTGTTTGCGAGGCAAGTGCTCTCATCATTGATCTAATCATTGACTCCACATTTTTAGGATTTCTGGCTGTTCTTTTCATTCCGTTCAATCTGATTCTCCGTCCTTTTAATTCTGTGTTATTTACTGTGGAGAGTGTGTGAGAGAAGCGCCCATGTCAATAACTGGTCATCCATTGTAACCTTTGGACAGAACAATATTACAACAGAGGTCAGTGTACTCTGGTAACAGATGTGGGAGATATAAGGTTGCTCACAGTTCAAGCTTAATTATTTGCTTTCAACAGTAATATTAATAGTATTATTCATCACGTCCCTCTGTGAAAGCCGCTGTGTAAACCTGGTTTGTTGTTCATTCAAAGCTCCGTGGAAAATACGGCAACACATTCAGCCTGCAGTTTGGGTGGACAGATGTGGTGGTGCTCAACGGCTACGAGACCATCAAGGATGGTCTGGTGAAGAAATCGGAAGACACGTCCGACCGACCGTACATTCCCATCCACCAAAAATACCTGTGTGCCTTTGGGCAAGGTAACTATCACATGGCAAGAGGCTTTGCCACCCCCACCCCCCCACACTAAACACTGCTGTGCCCAACTGGGACGTCTCAATGACGTGATAAGACGCTATATCACATGCAACAATTATCATGATTATTATTATTATTAAAACCAATCTGTTCCTCCCCAACGCTGTTTACAGGCATTGTCTTAGCAAAGTACGGCCAGTGGTGGCGAGATCACAGGAGGTTTGCTCTCTCCACGCTGAAGAACTTTGGGCTGGGGAAGAAATCTCTGGAGTTGCGAATCGTGGAGGAGGCGAGCTTTTTAAACAACGAATTGGAAGCCGAGATTGGTGAGTAAATTACCAGGGAATTCACCTCCTCGTTACCCTGTAACTTTGGACTTTTAGTTGCTCAATCCATGACTGTTTACGGGACACTGCTGAGCGCAATTGACTGCCAAGTTTTGCAGACAAAGTATACAGTCAGTTTACTTTACAGTATATTGTGTGAACAACAACAGCAACAAGATTACATTTGTATTGCACTTTTCACTGCTGTCCGTTTCCCTCTATTAGGTCACCCTTTTGATCCACATTTGAGAATAAACAACGCTGCCTCCAATGTCATCTGCTCCCTCATGTTTGGGGATCGTTTCGACTACCAGGATAAAAAATTCCTTCAACTACTAGAGATAATTGAGGAGTCTATGGTTCTGAGCGATGGATTTTGGGCTAAGGTAAGGCAGAGTCAAGTGAGTCCTCCGCCTCGCCTCCTCTTCAGAACAAACCTAAAGACTTTCTTACCAACTGCGCCCATGATCACTCCCCCCCCACCCACCACCACCGCCCTGGGCTCGGAGTAAAACTATACCACTGTACAGCGCTCCGAGACGCTACCCCACGTGAATGGTGCTCTGTAAATATAAGTTGTTGTAGTGAACCAAAAGTTAAGCTGTTAAAATATTGTGTCAATATTGGATTGGTATCCATGTGTCAGGCTGGCTCAGTGGTAGCACTCTCACCTCTGACTCAGAAGGTTGTGGGTTCAAGCCCCACGTCGGGATTTGGAATCACATGGTCTAAGCTGCCACTCCATACAGCGCTGCGGGAGAGCTGCATTGTCAGAGGTGTCGTCCTTTATCTGAGATGTTAAGCCGAGGTCCCGTCTGCTGTTCAGGTGGATGTTGAAGATCCCACGGCACGATTCAAAAATGGAAGGGAGTTTCTCTCTCTCAGTGTCCTGGCCAACAATCCCCCAAATAAAATTAGTCACCCACTCCATGGCTGGTTGTGGGACATTACTGTGCGCAATTGTGCTGCCGTGTTTCACCCACAAAATATATAGTCACTGCAATTTACAGTGTATCCTGTGCAGAGCTTTGAGACATCTTTCCAAAGTGATAAGACTCTATACCAAATGCAATTAGCCTTGACCAGTGCTTCCAGCACTCATTGACTCACCAACCACCCCATTCATCTCAGTTGGTTTCACCTGTCTGTCTATCTGTCTGTCCGTCTGTCCGTCTGTTGCAGTTGGTGAACATGTTCCCCTTTATTTACGGCCTCCCTGGGCCTCATCGCAGAATCCCTGAGATCCAAAAGAAGGTGGCTGAGTTTCTCCAGGAAATAATTGCTGAGCACAAGGAAGTTTGGGATCCCAACGAACCAAGAGACTTCATTGACGCCTTCTTAGTGGAGTGTGAGAAGGTAACACTGACCGGAAGATTTGATAGGTGTTGTGGTTGTAATGATTCTGAATCGCCAACACTGGTGCGCTAAGTGAATCCTTTATACTCTGCTTCCCAACAATCTACCACTTCCCAATGTGTTTCTCACACTGATTGTCTTGAGTTCACCTGCAGATGAAGGCTTCTCCCAATACGAGCTTCACTGAGAAGAGTCTGGTCTACACGTCCCTGGATCTGTTTGTGGCTGGTACCGAGACCACCTCCACCACCCTCCACTGGGGGCTGCTCTTCATGGTCTTATTCCCTGATATCCAGAGTAAGGTTCCCTTCTGTGGCTGTGGTGTTCCGGGGGGTATAATAATAATAATCCTTGCATTTGATACAGCGTCTTATCACGTCGTCCAGGCATCTCAAAGCGCTTCACAGGATACACTGGAAAGTGGAGTGACTGTGCATTTTGTGGGCAAAACAAGGATTAGAATCAGTAGTTTAAAAAGGTAAATGACTTTGCTCGGGTTGGAATTATCAAGTGGGCCGTTCCCGTTTTCTGGAGCGTTCTGTAACCAAGAGGGACCTGAATATAAGACAACCACATTGGGGATCTAAAAGAGAATTTAGGAGGAACTTCTTCAGGGTAGTGAGAATGTGAAGCAAATAGTACAGATACACATGAGGAAGAAGAGAGTAGAAGGGTGTGGAAGAGGGTGAGGAGCGGGTGGAGACTGTGGGGAATATAAACGGACTGTTTTGGTGAAATGTGTAATCAGTGGCCAATTTTCTTCCCCTCTGCAGAGAAGGTCCAGGAAGAGATTGACCGAGTGATCGGGACGGAGAGGAAGCCGGCTCTGGGGGACCAGGAGACAATGGCGTTCACCAACGCTGTCATCCACGAAACCCAACGCTTCGGAAGCATTGTCCCAAACTCAGTGCCGCACGAGACGTCCAGAGATACAGAGATCATGGGGTTCTCCATTCCAAAGGTGGCTCTGGATGACATTACAATGATATAGCGCCTCTCATGTCGGAAGGTAAAGTTTTTCCAGTCGCCTCCTGGGCTAACGTTTCTGTTTCTACAGGGAACGATGGTTATACCAAACCTCTCCTCCGCCCTCTACGATCCCAAATTTTGGGCGAAGCCGCACGAGTTTAATCCGGGTCATTTCCTTGACGACAGTGGGCGGCTTGTGAAGCCGGAAGCCTTCATCCCCTTCTCTGCAGGTAACACAGCGCGTGAGAGCGAGCGCTACAACATGGCGGCTTTATGTTGCTTTGATAATAAGGCTCAGTCGGTAGCGCTCTCGACTCTGAGTCAGAAGGTTGTGGGTTCATTCCAACCACCACGATTGTTTAGGGGACACTGCTGTGTGCAATTCATTGCCACGTTTCACTCATAATATACTCCGTCACTACACCATACAATATATTCTGTGAAGTACTTTGAGACATCTTCCTAATGTGAAAGGTGCCGTGCAATGGTAAAGGTTACTTATTGATTGTCTGTTAATCCCCCGCCCCACAGGGCCTCGTGTGTGCCTGGGGGAGCAGATGGCGAAGATGGAACTCTTCCTGTTCTTCACTTCCTTGCTCCAGCGATTCATATTCTTCCTGCCGGAGAACGAGCCCAAACCCAGCTACACCCGCACCAAATGTGGGATCACCCGCAGCCCAATGCCATTCCAGCTCTGTGTTCGACTCAGATAAACTCGGAGCTCCTGTTCATCGCTGTGTTCTGCATTATTAACAGCCCGGACTGTCACACAGGATAGAGCCTGTCACTGACCTGTGATTAACGTAGTTGTGTGTTGAATTCGGAAGGACTGGCTGACGTAGTGATTAACATCGTCGGGTAAATAATGACAACACTTATGTTTGACGTCGGGAGGACGTCTCAAAGCACTTCACGGGATTTTACAGTAAAGCGTCCTGAACTGTGTATTTGGTGGTGAATGAGTGATTTCATCTGCTTTATGGTTAAACCCCGTCTGTAACGCTGACAATACCCAATCCTGGTCACTGTGGAGGATGAAAGAGTCATTTCAGGTGACGTTGCAGAATCATTTATGAATCGACCTTTGCTATAAATCGCTGCAAACAGAGCAAAGTCCGTGTAATAAAATGGGCTGAAATAACGAATTTCACACATCTGGAAATAAAAGTATTAACTATTTTGTTTAAACTGTAGTAAACATCGCTCCTTGTTTTTAATTCAGTGCCACTCAGTGGCGAACGGCGTTTGGAGACACACATCATGGTTACTCCATCCCCGCATCACTCTGCCTCACCCCCTCCTTATCCTCCATCAAGTTTCGCCTCAAGACCCTCCTCTTCGACTATGCCATCGGCCACCCCCTCTCCCCCTCCCCTCCCTTCTCCCTCCCCTGACCCCACCTCAGGTCTGAAATGCTGTACACTGTCCAGTGCCTTGGGATGTCCTCCTAACGTGAAAGGCGCTATACAAATGTAGTCTTGTTGTTGTTAAGAGTCTCCAAACCAAGCCGAGAATTCCATGCATCCCACCTACACATGGTAACCCCAGAGAGAGATTGTTGGAATTCAATGCAGATTCTCTCTCTCTCTCCCCGGAGAGACCCACCATGTTTTCCTCATGCCAGAGAGAACTAGGCGTCCAATCAGACCCCCGGGATGACAACAACTTGCATTTAGATAGCGCCCTTTAAGAGGAATAGCGTCCCAGAGCGCTTCACGGTGGCAGAGTCTGACAAGGAGCCAAGGCGCGGCAGGACATCTCAAAGCGCATCACAGGATTTTTACTGTGCGTTTTGTAGAAAAACGCGGCGGCGGCCAATTTGCTTGTGTTGTCCTCCCCACCTCAACCCCACCCCACCCTTCCCGCAAGCTGCGGTCAAAGGAAACGATTTCAGTTTTAATCGCAGGGAATTGTCAGCCACCACAATGATACAATACATTTGTATAAGCGCCTTACATGACGGGAGGACGTCCCAAGGCGCTGAACAGTGAGGGATTAGGACATGAGAGGAAGGGAAGGGGTGGTTGGAATGAGGGAGGGCAGGGAGGGTAGTAGGATGGCCAAAGGGACAGTCCAAGAGGAGAGTCTTGAGGTGTGGCTTGAAGGAAGGAAGCAAGGGAGGGAGCGAGGTGAAGGGAATGTGGAATGGAATTCCAGAGGGTGGGGGCAGGGAGGCTGAAGGCCTGACCGCCGATGGTGGGGTGGGGCCAGACAGAGACACGGAGCAGGCCAGAGCCTGCTGAGCTGAGGGATCAGACAGGTTCATAAGGGATTAGCAGGTCAGAGAGGTAGGAAGGGGCAAGGACATGGAGGGCCTTGAAGGTGGGGACGAGAATTTTGAACTCAATTCTCTTAGGGATGGGAAGCCAGTGGAGCCGGGTGAGGCTGGGGGTGATTGGGTCACGGAGCCTGGTGTGGGAGAGGACACGACCTGCAGAGTTCGGGATGATCTACAGCTTGTGGAGGGAAGAGTTGGGAAGACCGACGAGCAGGGCATTGGCATCGTCGAGTTTGGTTGTAATGAAGGCATGTATGAGGGTTTCAGCGTCCTGGAGGGTGAGGCTGTGGCGGTGTCGGGCAATGTTGCAGAGGTGGAGGAAGGCAGAGAGGGTCGTGGATATGCGGGAGAAAGGACAGTTGAGCGTCGAACAAGATGCCTAGGTTCGTGACTGGTTGGCGAGTTGGTGCGTGTATGCTTGGATGCTGATACTGCCAGTGCATGAGGTGCGGAGACACTGGGACAAGCAAATCAGGAGAGCCTCAGCTTTACTGACATTCAACAGTAGAAAGTTGGCGCTCATCCAGGACTTGGTGTCTGACAGGTAGTGTGTGAGGACATGAATCCTGAGCTAATCTTAGGAAGACCCGCCTACCACGAGTTTTGTTCTCTGCCGTCGGTGGAGCTGGGCTGGTGGGGGCGTTGTTGGTCAGACTTGTCAGACTGGTCAGATGGTCAGACAGCCAGTCTCGCTGGGAAACATGGAGTTCCTGACTGTCCTTCAGTTCCTGATCCCAGGCTTTGACAGAGTCACTTTACTGGCCGTGTTCTGCACAGTCTTTGCTCTGGTCTTTGACTTCATGAAGAGGAGACAAAAGTGCATCAACTATCCCCCGGGCCCCTGGACGCTGCCCTTCATCGGGAGTGTTTTTCATGTCAGCAACGACAACCCCTACACATCGTTTGAAAAGGTAAAGAGCTGGGCCTTTCTGTGGTTAAGTGTCTCTTTGTCTCTGTGTTGGGTTAATTTATAATCCTTGCATTTGATACACTGCTTTTCACGTCTTCTCGACGTCTCAAAGGGCTTTACAGAATACACTGTAAGTGAATTGACTGTATATTTTGTGGGCGAAACCCGGCAGCCAATTGCGCACAGCAGCGTCCCACAAACAGTTGTGGATTGAGTGACCAATTTGTTACTTTATTTATTCATTTCCTTGAGGGATTATTATTAGACCTGTGGAGTAAGGAAATTTACCCAAGGTGTTGCCCAGCCAGGAATCAAACCCAGGTCTCTTGTTTGCGAGGCAAGTGCTCTCATCATTGATCTAATCATTGACTCCAAATTTATAAGCTTTCTGGCTGTTCCTTTCATTACGTTCAGACTCATTCTCCGTCCTTTTAACTCTGTGTTATTTACTATGGAGAGTGTGTGAGAGAAGCGCCCATGTCAATAACTGGTCATCCATTGTAACCTTTGGACAGAACAATATTACAACAGAGGTCAGTGTACTCTGGTAACAAATCTGGGAGAAATAAGGTTATTCACTCTTCCAGCTTAATTATTTGCTTTCAAAAGCAATATTAATAGTATTATTAATCACGTCCCTCTGTGAAAGCCGCTGGGGAAATCTGGTTTTTGTTGTTGTTCATTCAAAGCTCCGTGGAAAATACGGCAACACATTCAGCCTGCAGTTTGGGTGGACAGATGTGGTGGTGCTCAACGGCTATGAGACCATCAAGGACGGTCTGGTGAAGAAATCGGAAGACACGTCCGACCGACCGAACATTCCTGTCTTCCAAAAATACCTGTGTGCCTTTGGGCAAGGTAACTATCACATGGCAAGAGGCTTTGCCACCCCCACCCCCCCACACTAAACACTGCTGTGCCCAACTGGGACGTCTCAATGACGTGATAAGACACTATATCATATGCAACAATTATCATTATTATTATTATTAAAACCAATCTGTTCCTCCCCAACGCTGTTTACAGGCATTGTCTTAGCAAAGTACGGCCAGTGGTGGCGAGATCACAGGAGGTTTGCTCTCTCCACGCTGAAGAACTTTGGGCTGGGGAAGAAATCTCTGGAGTTGCGAATCGTGGAGGAGGCGAGCTTTTTAAACAACGAATTGGAAGCCGAGATTGGTGAGTAAATTACCAGGGAATTCACCTCCTCGTTACCCTGTAACTTTGGACTTTTAGTTGCTCAATCCATGACTGTTTACGGGACACTGCTGAGCGCAATTGACTGCCAAGTTTTGCAGACAATGTATACAGTCAGTTTACTTTACAGTATATTGTGTGAACAACAACAGCAACAAGATTACATTTGTATTGCACTTTTCACTGCTGTCCGTTTCCCTCTATTAGGTCACCCTTTTGATCCACATTTGAGAATAAACAACGCTGCCTCCAATGTCATCTGCTCCCTCATGTTTGGGGATCGTTTTGATTACCAGGATAAAAAATTCCTTCAACTACTAGAGATAATTGAGGAGTCTATGGTTCTGGAAGCTGGATTTTGGGCTAAGGTAAGGCAGAGTCAAGTGAGTCCTCCGCCTCGCCTCCTCTTCAGAACAAACCTAAAGACTTTCTTACCAACTGCGCCCGTGATCACTCCCCCCCACCCACCACCACCGCCCTGGGCTCGGAGTAAAACTATACCACTGTACAGCGCTCCGAGACGCTACCCCACGTGAATGGTGCTCTGTAAATATAAGTTGTTGTAGTGAACAAAGTTAAACTGTTAAATATTGTGTCAATATTGGATTGGTATCCATGTGTCAGGCTGGCTCAGTGGTAGCACTCTCACCTCTGACTCAGAAGGTTGTGGGTTCAAGCCCCACGTCGGGATTTGGAATCACATGGTCTAAGCTGCCACTCCATACAGCGCTGCGGGAGAGCTGCATTGTCAGAGGTGTCGTCCTTTATCTGAGATGTTAAGCCGAGGTCCCGTCTGCTGTTCAGGTGGATGTTGAAGATCCCTCGGCACGATTCAAAAATGGAAGGGAGTTTCTCTCTCTCAGTGTCCTGGCCAACAATCCCCCAAATAAAATTAGTCACCCACTCCATGGCTGGTTGTGGGACATTACTGTGCGCAATTGTGCTGCCGTGTTTCACCCACAAAATATATAGTCACTGCAATTTACAGTGTATCCTGTGCAGAGCTTTGAGACATCTTTCCAAAGTGATAAGACTCTATACCAAATGCAATTAGCCTTGATCAGTGCTTCCAGCACTCATTGACTCACCAACCACCCCATTCATCTCAGTTGGTTTCACCTGTCTGTCTATCTGTCTGTCCGTCTGTCCGTCTGTTGCAGTTGGTGAACATGTTCCCCTTTATTCACGGCCTCCCTGGGCCTCATCGCAGAATCCCTGAGATCCAAAAGAAGGTGGCTGAGTTTCTCCAGGAAATAATTGCTGAGCACAAGGAAGTTTGGGATCCCAACGAACCAAGAGACTTCATTGACGCCTTCTTAGTGGAGTGTGAGAAGGTAACACTGACCGGAAGATTTGATAGGTGTTGTGGTTGTAATGATTCTGAATCGCCAACACTGGTGCGCTAAGTGAATCCTTTATACTCTGCTTCCCAACAATCTACCACTTCCCAATGTGTTTCTCACACTGATTGTCTTGAGTTCACCTGCAGATGAAGGCTTCTCCCAATACGAGCTTCACTGAGAAGAGTCTGGTCTACACGTCCCTGGATCTGTTTGTGGCTGGTACCGAGACCACCTCCACCACCCTCCACTGGGGGCTGCTCTTCATGGTCTTATTCCCTGATATCCAGAGTAAGGTTCCCTTCTGTGGCTGTGGTGTTCCCGGGGGGTATAATAATAATAATCCTTGCATTTGATACAGCGTCTTATCACGTCGTCCAGGCATCTCAAAGAGCTTCACAGGATACACTGGAAAGTGGAGTGACTGTGCATTTTGTGGGCAAAACAAGGATTAGAATCAGTAGTTTAAAAAGGTAAATGACTTTGCTCGGGTTGGAATTATCAAGTGGGCCGTTCCCGTTTTCTGGAGCGTTCTGTAACCAAGAGGGACCTGAATATAAGACAACCACATTGGGGATCTAAAAGAGAATTTAGGAGGAACTTCTTCAGGATAGTGAGAATGTGAAGCAAATAGTACAGATACACATGAGGAAGAAGAGAGTAGAAGGGTGTGGAAGAGGGTGAGGAGCGGGTGGAGACTGTGGGGAATATAAACGGACTGTTTTGGTGAAATGTGTAATCAGTGGCCAATTTTCTTCCCCTCTGCAGAGAAGGTCCAGGAAGAGATTGACCGAGTGATCGGGACGGAGAGGAAGCCGGCTCTGGGGGACCAGGGGACAATGGCGTTCACCAACGCTGTCATCCACGAAACCCAACGCTTCGGAAGCATTGTCCCAAACTCAGTGCCGCACGAGACGTCCAGAGATACAGAGATCATGGGGTTCTCCATTCCAAAGGTGGCTCTGGGTGACATTACAATGATATAGCGCCTCTCATGTCGGAAGGTAAAGTTTTTCCAGTCGCCTCCTGGGCTAACGTTTCTGTTTCCACAGGGAACGATGGTTATACCAAACCTCTCCTCCGCCCTCTACGATCCCAAATTTTGGGCGAAGCCGCACGAGTTTAATCCGGGTCATTTCCTTGACGACAGTGGGCGGCTTGTGAAGCCGGAAGCCTTCATCCCCTTCTCTGCAGGTAACACAGCGCACGAGAGCGAGCGCTACAACATGGCGGCTTTATGTTGCTTTGATAATAAGGTGTCAGCCCGGCTCAGTCGGTAGCGCTCTCGACTCTGTGTCAGAAGGTTGTGGGTTCACTCCAACTACACCACGACTGTTTGGGGGACACTGCTGTGTACAATTCACTGCCACGTTTCACTCATAAAATAACACAGTCACTACACCATACAATATATTCTGACAAGCGCTTTGAGACATCTTCCTAATGTGAAAGGTGCCGTGCAATGGTAAAGGTTACTTATTGATTGTCTGTTAATCCCCCGCCCCACAGGGCCTCGTGTGTGCCTGGGGGAGCAGATGGCGAAGATGGAACTCTTCCTGTTCTTCACTTCCTTGCTCCAGCGATTCATATTCTTCCTGCCGGAGAACGAGCCCAAACCCAGCTACACCCGCACCAAATGTGGGATCACCCGCAGCCCAATGCCATTCCAGCTCTGTGTTCGACTCAGATAAACTCGGAGCTCCTGTTCATCGCTGTGTTCTGCATTATTAACAGCCCGGACTGTCACACAGGATAGAGCCCGTCACTGACCTGTGATTAACGTAGTTGTGTGTTGAATTCGGAAGGACTGGCTGACGTAGTGATTAACATCGTCGGGTAAATAATGACAACACTTATGTTTGACGTCGGGAGGACGTCTCAAAGCACTTCACGGGATTTTACAGTAAAGCGTCCTGAACTGTGTATTTGGTGGTGAATGAGTGATTTCATCTGCTTTATGGTTAAACCCCGTCTGTAACGCTGACAATACCCAATCCTGGTCACTGTGGAGGATGAAAGAGTCATTTCAGGTGACGTTGCAGAATCATTTATGAATCGACCTTTGCTATAAATCGCTGCAAACAGAGCAAAGTCCGTGTAATAAAATGGGCTGAAATAACGAATTTCACACATCTGGAAATAAAAGTATTAACTATTTTGTTTAAACTGTAGTAAACATCGCTCCTTGTTTTTAATTCAGTGCCACTCAGTGGCGAACGGCGTTTGGAGACACACATCATGGTTACTCCATCCCCGCATCACTCTGCCTCACCCCCTCCTTATCCTCCATCAAGTTTCGCCTCAAGACCCTCCTCTTCGACTATGCCATCGGCCACCCCCTCTCCCCCTCCCCTCCCTTCTCCCTCCCCTGACCCCACCTCAGGTCTGAAATGCTGTACACTGTCCAGTGCCTTGGGATGTCCTCCTAACGTGAAAGGCGCTATACAAATGTTGTCTTGTTGTTGTTAAGAGTCTCCAAACCAAGCCGAGAATTCCATGCATCCCACCTACACATGGTAACCCCAGAGAGAGATTGTTGGAATTCAATGCAGATTCTCTCTCTCCTCTCCCCGGAGAGACCCACCATGTTTTCCTCATGCCAGAGAGAACTAGGCGTCCAATCAGACCCCCGGGATGACAACAACTTGCATTTAGATAGCGCCCTTTAAGAGGAATAGCGTCCCAGAGCGCTTCACGGTGGCAGAGTCTGACAAGGAGCCAAGGCGCGGCAGGACATCTCAAAGCGCATCACAGGATTTTTACTGTGCGTTTTGTAGAAAAACGCGGCGGCGGCCAATTTGCTTGTGTTGTCCTCCCCACCTCAACCCCACCCCACCCTTCCCGCAAGCTGCGGTCAAAGGAAACGATTTCAGTTTTAATCGCAGGGAATTGTCAGCCACCACAATGATACAATACATTTGTATAAGCGCCTTACATGACGGGAGGACGTCCCAAGGCGCTGAACAGTGAGGAAGTGAGGACATGAGAGGAAGGGAAGGGGTGGTTGGAATGAGGGAGGGCAGGGAGGGTAGTAGGATGGCCAAAAGGGACAGTCCAAGAGGAGAGTCTTGAGGTGTGGCTTGAAGGAAGGAAGCAAGGGAGGGAGCGAGGTGAAGGGAATGTGGAATGGAATTCCAGAGGGTGGGGGCAGGGAGGCTGAAGGCCTGACCGCCGATGGTGGGGTGGGGCCAGACAGAGACACGGAGCAGGCCAGAGCCTGCTGAGCTGAGGGATCAGACAGGTTCATAAGGGATTAGCAGGTCAGAGAGGTAGGAAGGGGCAAGGACATGGAGGGCCTTGAAGGTGGGGACGAGAATTTTGAACTCAATTCTCTTAGGGATGGGAAGCCAGTGGAGCCGGGTGAGGCTGGGGGTGAATTGGGTCACGGAGCCTGGTGTGGGAGAGGACACGACCTGCAGAGTTCGGGATGATCTACAGCTTGTGGAGGGAAGAGTTGGGAAGACCGACGAGCAGGGCATTGGCATCGTCGAGTTTGGTTGTAATGAAGGCATGTATGAGGGTTTCAGCGTCCTGGAGGGTGAGGCTGTGGCGGTGTCGGGCAATGTTGCAGAGGTGGAGGAAGGCAGAGAGGGTCGTGGATATGCGGGAGAAAGGACAGTTGAGCGTCGAACAAGATGCCTAGGTTCGTGACTGGTTGGCGAGTTGGTGCGTGTATGCTTGGATGCTGATACTGCCAGTGCATGAGGTGCGGAGACACTGGGACAAGCAAATCAGGAGAGCCTCAGCTTTACTGACATTCAACAGTAGAAAGTTGGCGCTCATCCAGGACTTGGTGTCTGACAGGTAGTGTGTGAGGACATGAATCCTGAGCTAATCTTAGGAAGACCCGCCTACCACGAGTTTTGTTCTCTGCCGTCGGTGGAGCTGGGCTGGTGGGGGCGTTGTTGGTCAGACTTGTCAGACTGGTCAGATGGTCAGACAGCCAGTCTCGCTGGGAAACATGGAGTTCCTGACTGTCCTTCAGTTCCTGATCCCAGGCTTTGACAGAGTCACTTTACTGGCCGTGTTCTGCACAGTCTTTGCTCTGGTCTTTGACTTCATGAAGAGGAGACAAAAGTGCATCAACTATCCCCCGGGCCCCTGGACGCTGCCCTTCATCGGGAGTGTTTTTCATGTCAGCAACGACAACCCCTACACATCGTTTGAAAAGGTAAAGAGCTGGGCCTTTCTGTGGTTAAGTGTCTCTTTGTCTCTGTGTTGGGTTAATTTATAATCCTTGCATTTGATACACTGCTTTTCACGTCTTCTCGACGTCTCAAAGGGCTTTACAGAATACACTGTAAGTGAATTGACTGTATATTTTGTGGGCGAAACCCGGCAGCCAATTGCGCACAGCAGCGTCCCACAAACAGTTGTGGATTGAGTGACCAATTTGTTACTTTATTTATTCATTTCCTTGAGGGGATTATTATTAGACCTGTGGAGTAAGGAAATTTACCCAAGGTGTTGCCCAGCCAGGAATCAAACCCAGGTCTCTTGTTTGCGAGGCAAGTGCTCTCATCATTGATCTAATCATTGACTCCAAATTTATAAGCTTTCTGGCTGTTCCTTTCATTACGTTCAGACTCATTCTCCGTCCTTTTAACTCTGTGTTATTTACTATGGAGAGTGTGTGAGAGAAGCGCCCATGTCAATAACTGGTCATCCATTGTAACCTTTGGACAGAACAATATTACAACAGAGGTCAGTGTACTCTGGTAACAAATCTGGGAGAAATAAGGTTATTCACTCTTCCAGCTTAATTATTTGCTTTCAAAAGCAATATTAATAGTATTATTAATCACGTCCCTCTGTGAAAGCCGCTGGGGAAATCTGGTTTGTTGTTGTTGTTCATTCAAAGCTCCGTGGAAAATACGGCAACACATTCAGCCTGCAGTTTGGGTGGACAGATGTGGTGGTGCTCAACGGCTATGAGACCATCAAGGACGGTCTGGTGAAGAAATCGGAAGACACGTCCGACCGACCGAACATTCCTGTCTTCCAAAAATACCTGTGTGCCTTTGGGCAAGGTAACTATCACATGGCAAGAGGCTTTGCCACCCCCACCCCCCCACACTAAACACTGCTGTGCCCAACTGGGACGTCTCAATGACGTGATAAGACACTATATCATATGCAACAATTATCATTATTATTATTATTAAAACCAATCTGTTCCTCCCCAACGCTGTTTACAGGCATTGTCTTAGCAAAGTACGGCCAGTGGTGGCGAGATCACAGGAGGTTTGCTCTCTCCACGCTGAAGAACTTTGGGCTGGGGAAGAAATCTCTGGAGTTGCGAATCGTGGAGGAGGCGAGCTTTTTAAACAACGAATTGGAAGCCGAGATTGGTGAGTAAATTACCAGGGAATTCACCTCCTTGTTACCCTGTAACTTTGGACTTTTAGTTGCTCAATCCATGACTGTTTACGGGACACTGCTGAGCGCAATTGGCTGCCAAGTTTTGCAGACAATGTATACAGTCAGTTTACTTTACAGTATATTGTGTGAACAACAACAGCAACAAGATTACATTTGTATTGCACTTTTCACTGCTGTCCGTTTCCCTCTATTAGGTCACCCTTTTGATCCACATTTGAGAATAAACAACGCTGCCTCCAATGTCATCTGCTCCCTCATGTTTGGGGATCGTTTCGACTACCAGGATAAAAAATTCCTTCAACTACTAGAGATAATTGAGGAGTCTATGGTTCTGGAAGCTGGATTTTGGGCTAAGGTAAGGCAGAGTCAAGTGAGTCCTCCGCCTCGCCTCCTCTTCAGAACAAACCTAAAGACTTTCTTACCAACTGCGCCCGTGATCACTCCCCCCCACCCACCACCACCGCCCTGGGCTCGGAGTGAAACTATACCACTGTACAGCGCTCCGAGACGCTACCCCACGTGAATGGTGCTCTGTAAATATAAGTTGTTGTAGTGAACAAAGTTAAACTGTTAAATATTGTGTCAATATTGGATTGGTATCCATGTGTCAGGCTGGCTCAGTGGTAGCACTCTCACCTCTGACTCAGAAGGTTGTGGGTTCAAGCCCCACGTCGGGATTTGGAATCACATGGTCTAAGCTGCCACTCCATACAGCGCTGTGGGAGAGCTGCATTGTCAGAGGTGTCGTCATTTATCTGAGATGTTAAGCCGAGGTCCCGTCTGCTGTTCAGGTGGATGTTGAAGATCCCACGGCACAATTCAAAAATGGAAGGGAGTTTCTCTCTCTCAGTGTCCTGGCCAACAATCCCCCAAATAAAATTAGTCACCCACTCCATGGCTGGTTGTGGGACATTACTGTGCGCAATTGTGCTGCCGTGTTTCACCCACAAAATATATAGTCACTGCAATTTACAGTGTATCCTGTGCAGAGCTTTGAGACATCTTTCCAAAGTGATAAGACTCTATACCAAATGCAATTAGCCTTGACCAGTGCTTCCAGCACTCATTGACTCACCAACCACCCCATTCATCTCAGTTGGTTTCACCTGTCTGTCTATCTGTCTGTCCGTCTGTTGCAGTTGGTGAACATGTTCCCCTTTATTCACGGCCTCCCTGGGCCCCATCGCAGAATCTTTGAGAACCAAAAGCAGGTGGTTGAGTTTCTCCAGGAAATAATTGCTGAGCACAAGGAAGTTTGGGATCCCAACGAACCAAGAGACTTCATTGATGCCTTCTTAGTGGAGTGTGAGAAGGTAACACTGACCGGAAGATTTGATAGGTGTTGTGGTTGTAATGATTCTGAATCGCCAACACTGGTGCGCTAAGTGAATCCTTTATACTCTGCTTCCCAACAATCTACCACTTCCCAATGTGTTTCTCACACTGATTGTCTTGAGTTCACCTGCAGATGAAGGCTTCTCCCAATACGAGCTTCACTGAGAAGAGTCTGGTCTACACGTCCCTGGATCTGTTTGTGGCTGGTACCGAGACCACCTCCACCACCCTCCACTGGGGGCTGCTCTTCATGGTCTTATTCCCTGATATCCAGAGTAAGGTTCCCTTCTGTGGCTGTGGTGTTCCCGGGGGGTATAATAATAATAATCCTTGCATTTGATACAGCGTCTTATCACGTCGTCCAGGCATCTCAAAGCGCTTCACAGGATACACTGGAAAGTGGAGTGACTGTGTATTTTGTGGGCAAAACAAGGATTAGAATCAGGAGTTTAAAAAGGTAAAAGACTTTGCTCGGGTTGGAATTATCAAGTGGGCCGTTCCCGTTTTCTGGAGCGTTCTGTAACCAAGAGGGACCTGAATATAAGACAACCACATTGGGGATCTAAAAGAGAATTTAGGAGGAACTTCTTCAGGGTAGTGAGAATGTGAAGCAAATAGTACAGATACACATGAGGAAGAAGAGAGTAGAAGGGTGTGGAAGAGGGTGAGGAGCGGGTGGAGACTGTGGGGAATATAAACGGACTGTTTTGGTGAAATGTGTAATCAGTGGCCAATTTTCTTCCCCTCTGCAGAGAAGGTCCAGGAAGAGATTGACCGAGTGATCGGGACGGAGAGGAAGCCGGCTCTGGGGGACCAGGAGACAATGGCGTTCACCAACGCTGTCATCCACGAAACCCAACGCTTCGGAAGCATTGTCCCAAACTCAGTGCCGCACGAGACGTCCAGAGATACAGAGATCATGGGGTTCTCCATTCCAAAGGTGGCTCTTGGATGACATTACAATGATATAGCGCCTCTCATGTCGGAAGGTAAAGTTTTTCCAGTCGCCTCCTGGGCTAACGTTTCTGTTTCCACAGGGAACGATGGTTATACCAAACCTCTCCTCCGCCCTCTACGATCCCAAATTTTGGGCGAAGCCGCACGAGTTTAATCCGGGTCATTTCCTTAACGACAGTGGGCGGTTTGTGAAGCCGGAAGCCTTCATCCCCTTCTCTGCAGGTAACACAGCGCACGAGAGTGAGCGCTACAACATGGCGGCTTTATGTTGCTTTGATAATAACAACAACATGCGCCTCTCACATCGGGAGGATGTCCCAAGGTGTTGGGCGGCTCAGATGCCAGCCCGGCTCAGTTGGTAGCGATCTCACCTCTTGAGTCAGAAGGTTGTGGTTCACTCAAACTACACCATGACTGTTCGGGGGACACTGCTGTGTGCAATTCACAGGAGTGTTTACACTCATAAAATACTCAGTCACTACACTTTACAATATATTCTGTGAAGTGCTTTGAGACGTCTCGAAGACATGATCAAGCACTATATCGAATGCAAGGATTATTATAATTTATAATATCATTTAATATATATAATATATAATAATTTGTTGTCTGTGTTATTCCCCCCCGCAGGGCCTCGCGTGTGCCTGGGGGAGCAGTTGGCGAAGATGGAACTCTTCCTGTTCTTCACTTCCTTGCTCCAGCGATTCACATTCTTCCTGCCGGAGAACGAGCCCAAACCCAGCTACACCCGCACCAAATGTGGGATCACCCGCAGCCCAATGCCATTCCAGCTCTGTGTTCGACTCAGATAAACTCGCTGTTCATCGCTGTGTTCTGCATTATTAACAGCCTGGACTGTCACACAGGATAGAGCCTGTCACTGACCTGTGATTAACGTAGTTGTGTGTTGAATTCGGAAGGACTGGCTGACGTAGTGATTAACGTCGTCAGGTAAATAATGACAACACTTATGTTTGACGTCGGGAGGACGTCTCAAAGCACTTCACGGGATTTTACAGTAAAGCGTCCTGAACTGTGTATTTGGTGGTGAATGAGTGATTTCATCTGCTTTATGGTTAAACCCCGTCTGTAACGCTGACAATACCCAATCCTGGTCACTGTGGAGGATGAAAGAGTCATTTCAGGTGACGTTGCAGAATCATTTATGAATCGACCTTTGCTATAAATCGCTGCAAACAGAGCAAAGTCCGTGTAATAAAATGGGCTGAAAAAAACGAATTTCACACATCTGGAAATAAAAGTATAAACTATTTTGTTTAAACTGTAGTAAACATCGCTCCTTGTTTTTAATTCAGTGCCACTCAGTGGCGAACGGCGTTTGGAGACACACACCATGGTTACTCCATCCCCGCATCACTCTGCCTCACCCCCTCCTTATCCTCCATCAAGTCTCGCCTCAAGACCCTCCACTTCAACCATGCCATCGGCCACCCCCTCTCCCCCTCCCCTCCCTTCTCCCTCCCCTGACCCCACCTCGGGTCTAAAATGCTGTACACTGTCCAGTGCCTTGGGACGTCCTCCTAACGTGAAAGGCGCTATACAAATGTAATCTTGTTGTTGTTAAGAGTCTCCAAACCAAGCCGAGAATTCCATGCATCCCACCTACACATGGTAACCCCAGAGAGAGATTGTTGGAATTGAAGGCGTGTATGAGGGTTTCAGCGTCCTGGGGGGTGAGGCTGTGACGGTGTCGGGCAATGTTGCGGAGGTGGAGGAAGGCAGAGTGTGTCATGGCACGGATATGCGGGGGAAAGGACAGTTGAGCATCGAACAAGATGCCTAATCTTAGGAAGTCCCGCCTGCCATGAGTTTTGTTCTCTGCCGTCGGTGGAGCTGGGCTGGTGGGGGCGTTGTTAGTCAGACTTGTCAGACTGGTCAGACAGCCAGTCTCACTGGGAAACATGGAGTTCCTGACTGTCCTTCAGTTCCTGAGCCCAGGGTTTGACAGAGTCACTTTACTGGCCGTGTTCTGCACAGTCTTTGCTCTGGTCTTTGACTTCATGAAGAGGAGACAAAAGTGCATCAACTATCCCCCGGGCCCCTGGACGCTGCCCTTCATCGGGAGTGTTTTTCATGTCAGCAACAACAACCCCTACACATCGTTTGAAAAGGTAAAGAGCTGGGCCTTTCTGTGGTTAAGTGTCTCTTTGTCTCTGTGTTGGGTTAATTTATAATCCTTGCATTTGATACACTGCTTTTCACGTCTTCTCGACGTCTCAAAGGGTTTTACAGAATATACTGTAAGTGAACTGACTGTATATTTTGTGGGCGAAACCCAAGGTGTTGCCCAGCCAGGAATCAAACCCAGGTCTCTTGTTTGCGAGGCAAGTGCTCTCATCATTGATCTAATCATTGACTCCACATTTTTAGGATTTCTGGCTGTTCTTTTCATTCCGTTCAATCTGATTCTCCGTCCTTTTAATTCTGTGTTATTTACTGTGGAGAGTGTGTGAGAGAAGCGCCCATGTCAATAACTGGTCATCCATTGTAACCTTTGGACAGAACAATATTACAACAGAGGTCAGTGTACTCTGGTAACAGATGTGGGAGATATAAGGTTGCTCACAGTTCCAGCTTAATTATTTGCTTTCAACAGTAATATTAATAGTATTATTAATCACGTCCCTCTGTGAAAGCCGCTGTGTAAACCTGGTTTGTTGTTGTTGTTCATTCAAAGCTCCGTGGAAAATACGGCAACACATTCAGCCTGCAGTTTGGGTGGACAGATGTGGTGGTGCTCAACGGCTACGAGGCCATCAAGGACGGTCTGGTGAAGAAATCAAAAGACACGTCCGACCGACCAACCGTTCCCATCTACCAAAGATACTTTAGTGGCTTTGGGCAAGGTAACTATCACATGGCAAGAGGCTTTGCACCCCCACCCCCCCACACTAAACACTGCTGTGTCCAATTGGGACGTCTCAATGACGTGATAAGACGCTATATCACATGCAACAATTATCATGATTATTATTATTATTAAAACCAATCTGTTCCTCCCCAACGCTGTTTGCAGGCATTGTCTTTGCAAAGTACGGCCAGTGGTGGCAAGATCACAGGAGGTTTGCTCTCTCCACGCTGAAGAACTTTGGGCTGGGGAAGAAATCTCTGGAGTTGCGAATCGTGGAGGAGGCGAGCTTTTTAAACAACGAATTGGAAGCCGAGATTGGTGAGTAAATTACCAGGGAATTCACCTCCTCGTTCCCTGTCGTGAGAGAAGGCGTGGTGCCCTTCCCAAAAGGGCTCTGGATTGGGATGCAAAATCGATTCATAAGGTGGGGAGGGCGGGGGCTGCGGCTTGGCTGCCAATTACGGGTGGATGTAACTCGGGAGCCAATTCCGGAGTTCGGCTCGGGCGATGTCTCGAATAAGTGATAAGGCGCTATATCATACACAATTATTATTATGATTATGTGGAGCAAAGATGGGTAAATGGAGTTGAGGTACAGATCAGCCATGATCTGAAAGAATGGCGGAACAGGCTCGAGGGGCTGAATGACCTCCTCCTATTCCCATGTTCCTATATCAATTCACTTTACAGTATCTTCTATGAAGCGCTTTGCAACGTCTAGAAGACGTGAAAAGCGCTATATCAAATGCAAGGATTATTATTATTATTATATGGAGTTGAGGTACAAATCATAGTTAAATCCATGATCTAATAGAATGGCAGAACAGGCTGGAGGGGGCTGATTGGCCTCCTCCTGTTCCCATGTTCCTATATTATAATTGTGATGGTGTGATAGCTGATTGCTGTCCATTTCCCTCTATTAGGTCACCCTTTTGACCCACATTTCAGAATAAACAACGCTACCTCCAATATCATCTGCTCCCTCATCTTTGGGGATCGTTTTGACTACCAGGATACAAAACTCCTTCATTTACTAGAGATAATTGATGAGAGCATGTTGCTGGAGGCTGGATTTTGGGCTAAGGTAAGGCAGAGTCGATTGGACAACAATAGTATACGAAGTTAAATCCCTACAAGTTTGTCTCTCCTGGTATTCCTGGCCGTCAATGCCACGGAAATAAAAAGTCAGTCACCACTTGTTCTCTGCCTCGCCTCCTCTTCGGAACGAATGATGCTGCAATGTCATCCTTTCAATGAGAGACATTAAACCGCGGCTCTGTCTACCTGTTCTGGTGGATGTTAAAGATCTGATGGCACTATTGAAAAAGCGAAGGGAGTTTTTCTCTCTTTCTCAGTGTCCTGGCCAATAATGCCCCAAATAAAATCAGTCAGTCACTCCGTGGGTGGTTGTGGGACATTGCTGTGTGCAGTTGTGCTGCTGCGTTTCACCCACAAAATACACAGTCCCTGCACTTCACAATATATCCTGCGAAGAGCTTTGAGACGTCCTTCCCACGTGATAAGGTGCTACACCAAATGCAAGGCTTATTATTTTGCCTCCCTGACTCACCAACCACCCGATTCATCTCAGTTTGTTTATGTCTGGCTCGCTGTTTGTCTGTCTGTCTGTCTGTCTGCCTATCTGCCTGTCTTTCCATCTGTTGCAGTTGGTGAACATGTTCCCCTTTATTGACGGCCTCCCTGGGCCCCATCGCAGAATCTTTCAGAACCGTATGAAGTTGGTTGAGTTTCTCCAGGAAATAGTCGCTGAGCACAAGGAAGTTTGGGATCCCAACGAACCAAGAGACTTCATTGACGCCTTCTTAGTGGAGTGTGAGAAGGTAACACTGACTGGAAAATTTGATAGATGTTGTTGTTGTTGATGTTCTTGTTGTTGTAATGATTCTCAATCCTCAACACTGGTGTGTTCAGTAAATCCTTTATACTCTGCTTCCCAACAATCTAATACTCCAACCAGTTGTTTCACCGACAGAAACACACAGTCACTACACTTTACAGTAAAATCCTGTGAAGCGCTTTGAGACGTCTTCCTGAAGCAAAAGGCACTTTTGTGTCAGGTACAAGGATTAATATTATTTCTACAGTAAACCCCTGATAACCCGACCCTGGTATAACTGGTCATCACTACCACTTAAGTCATTGTGATGCCAAAATGCCGGATGCATTTATTTATATATTAAAATAATGGCTGAACTTGTATAAATCTATACCTCGCTTCTCCTGATAGCTCGACACTGAGCACTTTTCCACTGGGAGGGACGAGTTATCAGGAATTGACTGTATTGTGATTCTGATTGCTTTACAAAGTTGTTTCTGGCACTGACTGTCTTGAGTTCACCTGCAGATGAAGGCGACTCCCAATACGAGCTTCACTGAGACCAGCCTGTTCAGCACATCCCTGGATCTCTTCGGAGCCGGTACCGAGACCACCTCCACCACCCTCCGTTGGGGGCTGCTCTTCATGGTCTTATTCCCCGATATCCAGGGTAAGGATTCCCGTCTGGCTGTGGCGTTACCGGGTGGGATCCCATTGCTCGAAGGACACACGTCGGGGCTCATGCCCCCCGATTACACAACACGTGTGGATGTGGAATGGAACTCCAGAATCCCCCAAACACACACACAAGCACACAGTCACTACACTCAACAGTAAATCCCGTGCAGTGCTTTGAGACCCACATCTGACGAGAAAGGCGACCAGTCTTTGCACGGACTAGTTGGGCCAAATGGCCTGTTCCTGTGCTGTACAATCTTTATAAATCCATTGCGATGGACATGGGGTGTCTCCCTACTGTCAACTTCCCTATTGATCAAGTGTGTAATCATTGGCCAATTTTCTTCTCCTCTGCAGAGAAGGTCCAGGAAGAGATTGACCGAGTGATTGGGACGGAGAGAAATCCGGCTCTGGAGGACCAGGAGACAATGGCGTTCACCAACGCTGTCATCCACGAAACCCAACGCTTCGGAAACATTGTCCCAAACTCATTGCCGCACGAGACGTCCAGAGATACAGAGATCATGGGGTTCTCCATTCCAAAGGTGGCTCTTGGATGACATTACAATGATATAGCGCCTCTCATGTCGGAAGGTAAAGTTTTTCCAGTCGCCTCCTGGGCTAACGTTTCTGTTTCTACAGGGAACGATGGTTATACC